GCTTGGTTTGAAGAAATCAACTGTGGGAGCAATTATTAGGAAATGGAAGACATACAAGACCACTGATAATCTCCCTCGATCTGGGGCTCCACGCAAGATCTCACCCCGTGGTGTCAAAATGATCACAAGAACGGTGAGCAACAATCCCAGAACCACACGGGGGGACCTAGTGAATGACCTGCAGAGAGCTGGGACCAAAGTAACAAAGCCTACCATCAGTAACACACTACGCCGCCAGGGACTCAAATCCTGCAGTGCCAGCTTAAGCCAGTACATGTCCAGGCCCGTCTGAAGTTTGCTAGAATGCATTTGGATGATCCAGAAGAGGATTGGGAGAATGTCATATGGTCAGATGAAACCAAAATATAACTTTTTGGTAAAATCTCAACTCGTCGTGTTTGGAGGACAAAGAATGCCGAGTTGCATCCAAAGAACACCATACCTACTGTGAAGCATGGGGGTGGAAACATCATGCTTTGGGGCTGTTTTTCTGCAAAGGGACCAGGACGACTGATCCGTGTAAAGGAAAGAATGAATGGGGCCAAGTATCGTGAGATTTTGAGTGAAAACCTCCTTCCATCAGCAAGGGCATTGAAGATGAAACGTGGCTGGGTCTTTCAGCATGACAATGATCCCAAACACACCGCCCGGGCAACGAAGGAGTGGCTTCGTAAGAAGCATTTCAAGGTCCTGGAGTGGCCTAGCCAGTCTCCAGATCTCAACCCCATAGAAAATCTTTGGAGGGAGTTGAAAGTCCGTGTTGCCCAGCGACAGCCCCAAAACATCACTGCTCTAGAGGAGATCTGCATGGAGGAATGGGCCAAAATACCAGCAACAGTGTGTGAAAACCTTGTGAAGACTTACAGAAAACGTTTGACCTGTGTCATTGCCAACAAAGGGTATATAACAAAGTATTGAGAAACTTTTGTTATTGACCAAATACTTATTTTCCACCATAATTTGCAAATAAATTCATAAAAAATCCTACAATGTCATTTTCTGGATTTTTTTCCCTCATTTTGTCTGTCATAGTTGACGTGTAACTATGATGAAAATTACAGGCCTCTCATCTTTTTAAGTGGGAGAACTTGCACAATTGGTGGCTGACTAAATACTTTTTTCCCCCACTGTATTGGCCTAGGGGCTTTAATGCTACATAATTTACCACCTGAGGAAGTGGGAATTTAAAACACATTAGCTAGATTGCTAACTCTAAATATGGTATTGTTGCTAGATAGCCATGCAAAAACGTTCCATTGGTAGGCCTATTGACGTATTCACCGTAAATGGCTCCGTTCCACTGGCACATCATCTCAATTACATACTCTGTGTTATTTCCTCTATATTGACAGTTGAGAAATAATTATTACTCACATGAAGCTGATACTCTCCTCTTTTTTAACACTGGTAAGAGTAGTTGTTTTAAAATCTAGCGTAACCACAATTACAGTGCCTTCAGAAAGTATTCCACATTTTGTTGTGTTACAAGGTGGGATAAAAATATATTTAATTGTCATTTTTTGTAAACGATCTACACAAAATATTCTGTCAAAGTGGAAGAAAAATTCGAAACATTTGTAAAAATACATTTAAAAAAAGATGACTAATAAAACACTAATATATCTTGATTACATAAGTATTCAACCCCCTGAGTCAATACATGTTAGAATCCCATTTGGCAGCGATTACAACTGAGTCTTTCTGGGTAAGTCTCTAAGAGCTTTCCACACCTGGATTATACAATATTTTGCACATTATTCTTTAAAAGATTCTTCAAGCTCTGTCAAGTTGGTTGTTGATCATTGCTAGACAGCTATTTTCAAGTCTTGCCATATATTTTCAAGCTGATTTAAGTCAAAACTATAACTAGGCCACTCAGGAATATTCAATGTCGTCTTGGTAAGCAACTCCAGTGTATATTTGGCCTTGGGTTTTACGTTATTGTCCTGCTGAAAGGTGAATTTGTCTCCCAGTGTCTGTTGGAAAGCAGACAACAAGGTTTTCCTCTAAGATGTTGCCTGTGCTTAGCTTTATTCTGTTTCTTTTTATCCTAAAAAAACTCCCTAGTCCTTGCAGATGAGAAGCACACCCATAACATGATGCAGCCACCACAATGCTTGAAAATATGAAGAGTGGTACTCAGTGATGTGTTGTGTTTGCCCCAAAAATAACACTTTGTATTCAGGACATAAAGTGAATTGCTCATGTTTTGTAATAAAAAAAATTCTGTACAGGCTTCCTTCTTTTCACTCTGTCATTTATGGTTAGTATTGTGAAATAACTACAATGTTGTCGAGCCATCCTCAGTTTTCTCCTATCACAACCATTAAACTCTGTAACTCTTTTAAAGTCACCATTGGCCTCATGGTGAAATCCCTGAGTGGTTTCCTTCCTCTCCGGCAACTGAGTTAGGAAGGACAACTGCATCTTTGTAGTGACTGGGTGTATTGATACACCATCCAAAGTGTAATTAATAACTCCACCATGCTCAATGTCATTTTTTTTTTTTACCCATCTACCAATAGGTGCCCTTCTTTGCAAGGCATTGGAAACCTCCCTGGTCTTTGTGGTTGAATCTGTTTGAAATTCACTGCTCGACTGAGGGACCTTACAGATAATTGTATGTGTGGGGTACAGAGATGAGGTAGTCATTCAAAAATCATGTTAAACACTATTATTGCACACAGAGCAAGTCCATGCAACTTATTAAGCACATTTTTACTCCTGAACTTATTTAGGCTTGCCATAACAAAGGGGTTGAATACTTGACTCAAGACATTTTAGCTTTTCGTTTTTAATTAATTTGTAAAAAATTCTAAAAAGATAATTAATTGCACTTTGACATTATGGGGTATTGTGTGTAGGCCAGTGACACAAAATCTCTATTCAATACATTTTAAAGTCAGGCTGTAACAACAAAATGTGGAAAAAGTCAAGGGGTGTGAATACTTTCTGAAGGCACTGTACATTTTGAAATGTTGCTCAACTGTCAGTATGCTTGGGCTTATCAGAATGCATCTCTCCCTTTACGCTGTGTGCAAAGGGGGGAGCCAGAAGCGAAACAGGGACAGGGCAGATACCTTAATTGCAGGAAGCAGGTTAATAATGTACATTACTGTTGACCAAATAATGGTTTTATAATTTTAAAAAATCAGCAGGAATGTTGTGTAGCCTAAACACCAAAATTGTTTCGGTAAGAGGAGGGCGATGTCAGTGTAGGTAATTTTCGGATTATATCCCAGCTCTAGTTAGTGTTGTTGTTTATCAAATTGTAGGCCTATAGGCTACCTTCTCTCTCTTCTGGCAACGGCCCAACTCACACTGGCACATGCACATGACTTGCACACACAGAGGCCCACATGTGGATAGCTCTCTAACATTTTGAAAGTCCTCCTTGAGTATTATGTTCAATATTTTTTCATTTATTTGTCATGGTGGTAACAATTAAGCAGCGGCACAATATAAGGGAAACACTGTAGTCACTCCATCAAGACCTTTGAAAACTGAATTTAAGACATTAAGCCTTTTTAAGGCCTTTAAATCAGATAAATTAATGTAATACTTTTTAAGGACGCGCAGACACCTTGTGTAATGTAATCTGTATCAACATTTGCTAATATATTAGCAACTCCAATTAATTCAGTGACATTACACAATCACATCTTGCCATAAAGCAGTATAAGAAATGTACAGAACAAATATTTCATGGCATTTGATAGAATCTGGAAAGAATGTCCCTTGTGTGGAGGATCTGTATTGATGTTTGCAGCAGATTTTCTTGTCTAGACTCAAGTCACAGAATCGACCTTAAGAGTGTGAACGATATACACTATATATACAAAAATGTGGAAACCCCTTAAAATAAATGGATTCAGCTATTTCAGCCACACCCGTTGCACACAGCCATGCAATCTCCATAGACAAACATTGGCACTAGAATGGCCTTACTGTAGAGCTCAGTGGCTTTCAATGTGGCACCGTCATAGGACCTTTCCAAACAAGTCAGTTCATCAAATTTCTGCCCTGCTAGAGCTGCCCCGGTTAACTGTAAGTGCTGTTATTGTGAGTGGAAACGTCTATGAGCAACAACAGCTCAGCTGTGAAGTGGTAGGCCACACAAGCTCACAGAACGGGACCGGCGAGTGCTGAAGTACATAGCGCGTAAAAAACATTTGTCCTCAGATGTAACACCCACCACCGAGATCCAAACATCCTTTGGAAGCAACATCAGCACAATAACTGTTCATCTGGAGCTTCATGAAATGGTTTCCATGGCCAAACAGCCGCACACAAGCCTAAGATCACAAGGCGCAATGCCAAGCGTCGGCTGGAGTGGTATAAAGCTTGCCACCATTGGACTCTGTAGCAGTGGAAACGCGTTCTCTGGAGTGATGAATCACGCTACACCATCTGGCAGTTCGAAGGACGAATCTGGGTTTGGTGAATGCCAGGAGAAGGCTACCTGCCCGAATGTAGTGCCAACTGTAATGTTTGGTGGAGGAGGAATAATGGTCTCAATGACATTCTAGACAATTCTGTGCTTCCAACTTTGGGGAAGACCCTTTCCTGTTTCAGCATGACAATGCCCCAGTGCACGAAGCAAGGTCCACACCGAAATTTGTTTGTCGAGATCGGTGTGGAAGAACTTGACTGGCCTGCACAGAGCCCTGACCTCAACCCCGTCGAACACCTTTGGGATGAATTGGAACGCCGACTGAGAGCCAGGCCTAATCGCCCAACATCAGTGCCCGACCTCACTAATGCTCTTGTGGCTGAATAGAAGCAAGTCTCTGCAGCAATGTTCCAACATCTAGTGGAAAGCCTTCCAGGAAGAGTGGAGGCTGTTATAGAAGCAAAGGGGGGACCAACTCCATATTAATGACCATGATTTTGGAATTAGTTGTTCGACGAGGTGTCCACATACTTTTGGTCATGTAGTGTATGTTGCAGTGGTAATTCTTGAGGTGCATGTGTGTGCGTCTCACCTTGCTGGACACCAGCTTGACATTCCCTGAGGCCAGCGCCACAGCTGTGTCGGCCATGACCTCAGCCTTGATGGATCCCAGGCCTCCTGTAGCGCTGGTCTTGATGAAGCTGTCCAGCACCACGTCCAGCAGGTCCGTTATCTACAGAACAGGGACAACAGGACGAACCATAAATTCATCTCCATTACTAACCCACAGAGGTGTGATGCAAACCAGAAACCTCACAGCGAGGGCCTCAGCGTATGTTTTTTTTTGGTCTCAAGTAATTTCTCAGCCAGCATATTTTTTAGTCAGACCACAACATCCCTCTCTATGCTAATACACAAAGATAGCAGCTTTCAGTGGCTAGCATGATAACTGGTGAGAGCTGAAAGGTACAGAGACGCTGACACAGAAGACAGAATCATTAGTAATGACTAGATACAGTGCCTTCAGAAAATATTCACACCCCTAGACTTTTCTGGTACCGGTTCCGACAGACATTTCTGCTTATAAATCGATCTGTGGACACCGTAGATATACAGTGCCTTCAGAAAGTATTTGCACCCCTTGACTTTTTCCACATTTTGTTGTGTTACAGCCTGAATTTCAAATTGATTTAATTGAGATTTTGGGTCACTGGCCTAAACACAATACCCCATAACGTCAAAGTGGAATTATGTTTTTCAAAATTTTGACAAATGAATTAAAAATGAAAAGCTGAAATGTCTTCAGTCAATAAGTATGCAACCCCTCTGTTATGGCAAGCCTAAATAAGTTCAGGAGTAAAAACGTGCTTAAAAAGGTACCATAATGAGTTGCATGGACTCACTCTTTGTGCAGTAATAGTGTTCAACATGATTTTTTTATGACTACCTCATCTCTGTACCCCACACATACAATTATCTGTAAGCTCCCTCAGTCGAGCAGTGAATTTCAAAAACAGATTCAACCACGCCTTGCAAAGAAAGGTACCTATTGGTAAAAAAAAAGCAGACATTGAATAACCCTTTGAGCATGGTGAAGTTATTCATTACACTTTGGATAGTGAGCCAGAGGAAGGAAACCGCTCAGGAATTTCATCATGACTCAAATGGTGACTTTAAAAAAAGAGTTTAATGGCTGTGATAGGAGAAAACTGAGGATGGATCAACAACATTGTAGTTACTCCAAAATACTAAACTAATTGACAGATAGAAAAGAAGAAAGCCTGTACAGAATAAAACATATTCCAAAACAACGATCCTGTATGCAACAAGGCGCTAAAGTAATACTGCAAAACATGTGTCAAAGCAATTGTTATTGGATTTGCCTCAAACATACAGTCGCTTGCGAAAGTATTCACCCCCCTTGGCATTTTATTTTATTTTGTTGCCTTACAACCAGGAATTAAAATTGATTTTTGTATCATTTGATTTAAACAACATGCCTACCACTTTGAAGATGCAAAATAAAAAAAATTGTGAAACAAACAAGAAATAAGACAAAAAAACAGAAAACTGGAGCGTGCATAACTATTCACCCCCCCAAAGTCAATACTTTGTAGAGCCACCTTTTGCAGCAATTACAGCTGCAAGTCTCTTGGGGTATGTCTCTATAAGCTTGGCACATCTAGCCACTGGGATGTTTGCCCATTCTTCAAGGCAAAACTGCTCCAGCTCCTTCAAGTTGGATGGGTTCTGCTGGTGTACAGCAATCTTTAAGTCATACCACAGATTCTCAATTGGATTGAGGTCTGGGCTTTGACTAGGCCATTCCAAGACATTTAAATGTTACCCCTTAAACCACTCGAGTGTTGCTTTAGCAGTATGCTTAGGGTCATTGTCCTGCTGGAAGGTGAACCTCCGTCCCAGTCTGAAATCTCTGGAAACAGGTTTCCCTCAAGAATTTCCCTGTTTTAGCACCATCCATCATTCCTTCAATTCTGACCAGTTTCCCAGTCCCTGCCGATGAAAAACATCCCCACAGCCTGATGCTGCCACCCACCATGCTTCACTGTGGGGATAGTGTTCTCGGGGTGATGAGAGGTGTTGGGTTTGCGCCAGACATAGTGTTATCCTTGATGGCCAAAAAGCTCACTTTTTGTCTCAACTGACCAGAGTACCTTCTTCCATATGTTTGGGGAGTCTCCCACATGCCTTTTGGCGAACACCAAACGTGTTTGCTTATTTTTTTCTTTAAGCAATGGCTTTTTTTCTGGCCACTCTTCCGTAAAGCCCAGCTCTGTGGAGTGTACGGCTTAAAGTGGTCCTATGGACAGATACTCCAATCTCCGCTGTGGATCTTTGCAGCTCCTTCAGGGTTATCTTTGGTCTCTTTGTTGCCTCTCTGATTAATGCCCTCCTTGCCTGGTCCGTGAGTTTTGGTGGGCGGCCCTTTCTTGGCAGGTTTGTTGTGGTGCCATATTCTTTCAATTTTTTAATAATGGATTTAATGGTGCTCCGTGGGATGTTCAAAGTTTTGAATATTGTTTTATAACCCAACCCTGATCTGTACTTCTCCACAACGTTGTCCCTGACCTGTTTGGAGAGCTCCTTGGTCTTCATGGTGCCGCTTGCTTGGTGGTGCCCCTTGCTTAGTGGTGTTGCAGACTCTGGGGCCTTTCAGAACAGGTGTATATATACACTGAGATCATGTGACACAGATTGCACACAGGTGGACTTTATTTAACTAATTATGTGACTTCTGAAAGTAATTGGTTGCACCAGATCTTATTTAGGGGCTTCATAGCAAAGGGGGTGAATACATATGCACGCACCACTTTTTCCAAAAGCTTGAGGTTCCAAGAGCTTGAAGCATGTTATTTTTTTCATTTCACGTCACCAATTTGGACTATTTTGTGTATGTCCATTACATGAAATCCAAATAAAAATCTATTTAAATTACAGGTTGTAATGCAACAAAATAGGAAAAACGCCAAGGGGTATGATTACTTTTGCAAGGCACTGTACAACACATTACTGAGTACTACTCTCCATATTTTCAAGCATATTGGTGGCTGCATCATGTTATGGGTATGCTTGTAATCGTTAAGGACTGGGGAGTTTTTCAGGATTATAAGAAACGGAATGGAGCTAAGCACAGGCAAAAAACCTGGTTCAGTCTGCTTTCCACCAGACACTGGGAGATGGATTCACCTTTTAGCAGGACTATAACCTAAAACACAAGGCCAAATCTACACTGGAGTTGCTTACCAAGAACACAGTGAATGTTCCTGAGTGGCCGAGTTAAAGTTTTGACTTAGCTTGAAGACTTTCTAAAAGAATAATGGGCAATTGTTGCACAATCCAGGTGTGGAAAGCTCTTAGACTCACAGCTGTAATCGCTGCCAAAGGTGGTTCGATACTCTACAAAAATATAAATGCAAAATGTAAAGTGGTGGTCCCATGTTTCATGAGCTGAAATAAAAGATCCCAGACATTTTCCATAAGCACAAAAATCTTATTTCTCTCAAATGTTGTGCACAAATTTGTTTACATCCTGTTAGTGCGCATTTCTCCTTTGCCAAGATACAGTGGGGGAAAAAAGTATTTAGTCAGCCACCAATTGTGCAAGTTCTCCCACTTAAAAAGATGAGAGAGGCCTGTAATTTTCATCATAGGTACACGTCAACTATGACAGACAAAATGAGAAAAAAAATTCCAGAAAATGACATTGTAGGATTTTTTATGAATTTATTTGCAAATTATGGTGGAAAATAAGTATTTGGTCAATAACAAAAGTTTCTCAATACTTTGTTATATACCCTTTGTTGGCAATGACACAGGTCAAACGTTTTCTGTAAGTCTTCACAAGGTTTTCACACACTGTTGCTGGTATTTTGGCCCATTCCTCCATGCAGATCTCCTCTAGAGCAGTGATGTTTTGGGGCTGTCGCTGGGCAACACGGACTTTCAACTCCCTCCAAAGATTTTCTATGGGGTTGAGATCTGGAGACTGGCTAGGCCACTTCAGGACCTTGAAATGCTTCTTACGAAGCCACTCCTTCGTTGCCCGGGCGGTGTGTTTGGGATCATTGTCATGCTGAAAGACCCAGCCACGTTTCATCTTCAATGCCCTTGCTGATGGAAGGAGGTTTTCACTCAAAATCTCACAATACATGGCCCCATTCATTCTTTCCTTTACACGGATCAGTCGTCCTGGTCCCTTTGCAGAAAAACAGCCCCAAAGCATGATGTTTCCACCCCCATGCTTCACAGTAGGTATGGTGTTCTTTGGATGCAACTCAGCATTCTTTGTCCTCCAAACACGACGAGTTGAGATTTTACCAAAAAGTTATATTTTGGTTTCATCTGACATTCTCCCAATCCTCTTCTGGATCATCCAAATGCACTCTAGCAAACTTCAGACGGGCCTGGACATGTACTGGCTTAAGCAGGGGGACACGCCTGGCACTGCAGGATTTGAGTCCCTGGCGGCGTAGTGTGTTACTGATGGTAGGCTTTGTTACTTTGGTCCCAGCTCTCTGCAGGTCATTCACTAGGTCCCCCCGTGTGGTTCTGGGATTTTTGCTCACCGTTCTTGTGATCATTTTGACCCCACGGGGTGAGATCTTGCGTGGAGCCCCAGATCGAGGGAGATTATCAGTGGTCTTGTATGTCTTCCATTTCCTAATAATTGCTCCCACAGTTGATTTCTTCAAACCAAGCTGCTTACCTATTGCAGATTCAGTCTTCCCAGCCTGGTGCAGGTCTACAATTTTGTTTCTGGTGTCCTTTGACAGCTCTTTGGTCTTGGCCATAGTGGAGTTTGGAGTGTGACTGTTTGAGGTTGTGGACAGGTGTCTTTTATACTGATAACAAGTTCAAACAGGTGCCATTAATACAGGTAACGAGTGGAGGACAGAGGAGCCTCTTAAAGAAGAAGTTACAGGTCTGTGAGAGCCAGAAATCTTGCTTGTTTGTAGGTGACCAAATACTTATTTTCCACCATAATTTGCAAATAAATTCATTAAAAATCCTACAATGTGATTTTCTCAATTTGTCTGTCATAGTTGACGTGTACCTATGATGAAAACTACAGGCCTCTCTCATCTTTTTAAGTGGGAGGACTTTTTTTCCCCCACTGTAATCCCTCCACGTGACAAGTGTGGCATACAGTGAGGGAAAAAAGTATTTGATCCCCTGCTGATTTTGTACGTTTTCCCACTGACAAAGACATAATCACTCTATAATTTTAATGGTAGGTTTATTTGAACAGTGAGAGACAGAATAACAACAAAGAAATCCAGAAAAACGCATGTCAAAAATGCTATAAATTGATATGCATTTTAATGAGGGAAATAAGTATTTGACCCCTCTCCATCCACGACCCATTTTCAATGCCCTGGCTGAGGGAAGGAGGTTCTCACCCAAGATTTGACGGTACATGGCCCTGTCCATCGTCCCTTTGATGCGGGGAAGTTGTCCTGTCCCCTTAGCAGAAAAACACCCCCAAAGCATAATGTTTCCACCTCCATGTTAGACGGTGGGGATGGTGTTCTTGGGGTCATAGGCAGCATTCCTCCTCCTCCAAACACGACGAGTTGAGTTGATGCCAAAGAGCTCCATTTTGGTCTCATCTGACCACAACACTTTCACCCAGTTCTCCTCTGAATCATTCAGATGTTCATTGGCAAACTTCAGACGGCCCTGTATATGTGCTTTCTTGAGTAGGGGGACCTTGCGGAGGCTGCAGGATTTCAGTCCTTCATGGCGTAATGTGTTACCAATTGTTTTATTGGTGACTATGGTCCCAGCTGCCTTGAGATCATTGACAAGATCCTCCCGTGTAGTTCTGGGCTGATTCCTCACCGACATACACATACACCAAGACTTTCTGCACAAACTGTCAGAAACCGTCTCAGGGAAGCTCATCTGCGTGCTCGTCGTCCTCGCCAGGGTCTTGACTTGACTGCAGCTGGGCGTCGTAACCAACTTCAGTGGGAAAATGCTCACCTTCGATGGCCAGTGGCATGCTGGAGAAGTGTGCTCTTCCCGGATGAATCCCGGTTTCAACTGTACCGGGCAGATGGCAGACAGAGTGTATGGCGTCGTGTGGGCGAGCGGTTTGTTGATGTCAACGTTGTGAACAGAGTGCCCCATGGTGGTGGTGGGGTTACGGTATGGACAGGCATAAGCTACGGACAACGAACACAATAGCATTTTATCGGTACACAATTCCTGGAAAATGAAAATGTCTCAGTTCTTCCATGGCCTGCATACTCACCAGACATGTCACTCACTGAGCATGTTTGGGATGCAACTTCGCACAGCCATTGAAGCGGAGTGGGACAACATTCCACAGGCCACAATCAACAGCCTGATCAACTCTATGCGAAGGAGATGTGTCGCACTGCATAAGGCAAATGGTGGTCACACCAGATACTGACTGGTTTTCTGATCCATGCCCCTACCTTTTTTTTGTGACCAACAGATGGATATCTTTATTCCCAGTCATGTGAAATCCATAGATTCGGGCCAAATGTATTTATTTAAATTGACTGGATTTCTTATATTAACTGTAACTCAGTAAAATCTTAGAAATTGTTGCATGTTGCATTTATAATTTTGTTCAGTGTACAAAGTATTGACTCAGGGGTGTGAATATTTATGTAAATGAGATATTTCTGTATTGAATTTTCAATAAATGTGCAAACATTTCTGAAACATATTTTCACTTTGTCATTATGGGGTATTGTGTGTAGATGGGTGTGAAAACAAATCTATTTAATCCATTTTGAACTCAAGGGGTATGAATACTTTCTGAAGGCACTGTAAGGGATAACACACTTTCATAATTTCTGATAGGATTAGGGCAGGGTTCCCCAACTGGTGGCCTGCAGAAGACATAATAGACTGTAAAAACACCAGGAAATCAGCTCCAAGTGATTTTAATTTAAGAAATCTGTTCCCAAGTATTCCCACGCATAATAGAGAGACAAATGTAAGCAAGGTTTGAAATTATTATGTTTTAGTCAAACATTATATCTGTTTGGGCTTCTTGCAGTCTACAAATTATTTGTAATTAAGTTCCGGCCCCAAAACCATCCGCTCCAGAAGAAAATCAGCCCATGGCTGAATCTAGTTGATGATCCCTAGCATAGGGTGTCCCTGTCCAGTGTCTATAAAATCCTAAACAGTGAGTCCACTGAATCATTCAGCCATTTCCCAGTGCATGAATCAGCAGTAGCATTAAGCCAATAACAGACACTGCATGGGCTCAGTAACATTCAATATACCACCCGGTACTCTTACCCTGCACCTAAGAAACTGCCGTCCTATGTACATAGTCATTGAACACTGGTCACTTTAATAATGTGTAAATACTGTTTTACCCACTTGTCATGGCTCATCACTACTGCTGTACGCACCTTTTCTATTCATATACTGTCTATACACACCATTTTTATTGATATTTCTTAATTTCTTATTTTTATGTTTTGGATTTGTGTGCATTGTTTTGCTAGGTGTTACTGCACTGTTCGAGCTTGAAACACAAGCATTTCGCTGCAACTGCGATAACATCTGCAAATATGTGTACGCGACCAATACAATTTGATTTGATTTTGATTTGAAATACTGGTTGATACATGGGCTACCACCCATACTGAGAGGAGAGAGAGACCCCCACCTGTCCCAGACTACCCCAGATCTTAGCCTGGATAGAGGGGTACATCTGCTTCTCATTGATGGTCATGGTGATGAGCTTGTCCAGGATGGCGGTGACGCGCTGGCGCTTGGCGTCGTCGTTGTGCTTACAGAATCTCACCAGGTTGAGTAGCCAGGGGGTCATGTACTCCAGACACAGGTGCTTCAACTCAATACCTACACACATCAGAGAGGGATGTTACAGTGTGTGTGTGTGAGTGAGTGAGTGTTTGTGCATTTGGCGTATGTGTGTGGAGGGCGGGAACAAGGATACTGACTAGATTTGCTGAAGCCAGATATACACTCTTCCAGGAACTCCAGGGTGAGGTGTGGTTCGTTGGCGGCCAGTGTCTTGCTGATGGACACTATGAAGAGGGTGTTGTTTGCAGGGATACACAGGCCTGATGTCTCCAGCAGCTGGCCTTCTATCTTCAGGTTGAAGGTGCAGGTTAAGGCACAGAGCAGGTTGTAGGCCGCCGATCTGCAAACAGCACAGACAGAGAGGGAAGGAGAGAAAAAAAAAAAAAGAAGGTAAATCAGTAAGATGTATAATTCAAACATTCCAAAGAAGCCTAACTGTCAGCTCTCATAGTCCCACCAAAATCTATACTAATCACGTATTACTATTTTCCTCAGCTGTGTGTCTGACCTGAGGCTGGGGTCAGAGCTGCCCAGGTTGAGCAGGGCGATGTTGAGCAGGGTGCCCGGCACATCTTTGGGCCTGATCTTGGTGTGTTGGGGGATGGAGTCAGGCTGGGACAGCTCCCAGCGCGTCCTGATGTGGATGATGGACTGGACGATGGCCTCACACTCCTGGTGCATGAACGTGAGCGGCGTGCCCTGGTTGGCAATGGTCAGCGTGAACTGGTTCTCGTCCACCAGGCAGATCTCCTCTATCTCTGAGGCATAGTAGATGTCGTTGAGGAAGACCGACTGACCCAGGACCCGGGTACGCTCTGCAGACGTCACCTGGACCGCCGTGGAGCCCACCTGCGGACAACAGACACACAGAGACAGGTCATTGAGACGGAGTCACTATACTAGCTGGCCTACAAAATGTTAACGTCATTAAAAAACGTCTGGTTTAGTGGTTGACCCTTCCGACTTCAGACCACATATACCTCCGTGGGACAAGCATTGAATTTGTCTCAGACATTCCTGTCATTCCTGTCTGTGCCCCTACTTACTTCAAATTACTTCCCACAGCCCAAAAAGTATGTAGGAATCATATAACATTATAAATCTACTGACTCCCTCATGTCCTGACCTTGATGGAGACCTTGGTGTCCTTGTGGGCCAGTTTGAGGGCGTTGTGGAACACCTTGAGGTCTTCCTCCAGGGCTAGCGTGGCCGCAGGGAGCTTTTGCTGGTCAGGCTCCACGTGTTCCGCAAGCCGCGCTGGGGAGTCAATGAACAGCAGCTTCTTGCTCCCCTTCAGGCCCGTCAGCAGCCTCTCGTGGTACTTGGTGTACTCCCTCACCCACGTGTTGCAGTTGTAGATGTAGATGGCCGCCACATTCTCGTAGGCAAAGCCCGGGAACACCACAAACCACTTGGACAGGAAGTCGGTCTTGAAGCGGTTGCTGGGTCCGGCGTGGGTCAGGTCCACCACAATCTCATAGGGCTTGGCATAGTAGGGCTTCAAGGTCAGCAGCACGTGGTAGATGAGAAGGTCACCGTTGATCTGGCCCGTCTTGAATCTGGGAGGGTGAAGAGGGAGCGGCAAAGGGGGACGTCACAGAAGCATTTTAAGTTGTCATTGTAATTTAAATAGGGTGTAGGGGACAGGAAATGTGTGTGTCATGCCAACCTGATTGCGTCACAGTTCAACACTTGACTCGGTTGGAAAATGACACAGTGTGAATTGGGCTAACAAGCAGACATGGGCTCTCAAATCCTAAAAAAGTTATACAGCTGCACCATTGAGAGCATCTTGACTGGTTGCATCACTGCTTGGTACGACAACAGCACCGCCCTTGATCGCATGGCGCTACAGAGGGTGGTGCGGACTGCCCAGTACATCAGTACTGCCCTGCAATCCAGGACCTCTATCAGGCGGTGTGAAAGGAAGGCCCGGAAAATCGATAGAGACTCCAGCCACCCAAGCCATAGACTGTTCTCTCCGCTTCCAGACAGCGTGGTACCAGTGCATCAAGTCTGACACCAACAGGCTCCTGAAAAGCTTCTATCCCCAAGCAATAAGACAGCTAAATAGCTAACTAAATGGCTACACAGACTCTACACACACTAACAGGACTCTACACACACATTTCCCTGCACATTGTAAATACTGTATGGTATTGGAACTGACTGTGTATTTTGCATCTTATTTCTTGTGTGTTTGTGTTCTACCTTATGCTATTTGTAGTGCTACATTGATGTTGATTACTGCATTGTTGGGTTTGGAGCTTGCAAGAAAGGCATTTCACTGTACTTGAGCACGTGACATAACTTGGAACTTGATAGTCTGCAAACACAGAAATTAGAAACAGGAAGGAGGAATGGCTAACGTACAGTAAAATACAGCTTTCAATGAAGTGTTTGGTTAATAACAACAACCACACAGAATTATCAAATAATTCAATTAATCTGACTATGCAAGACATTCATTAGTTGAATAACGCCTACTTACAGTAGCATTAGTAATAATAACAAACACTTCTTGTCTCCAAGACAACACAGCATGTTTCCACTTCCTCTCAACAGCCCACCTGTTGTATGGTGTTAACCACAGTGCTTACCCTCTGGCTTCTGCATGACCAAGCTAAACATCATACACAAACTGAAATACGGGTAACTTCCAAAATAAAGGAAACACCAACATAAAGAGTCTTAATAGGGCGTTAGGCCACCATGGGCCAGAACAGCTTCAATGCACCTTGGCATAGATTCTACAAGTGTCTGGAACTCTATTGGAGGGATGTGATGCCATTCTTCCATGAGAAATTCCATCATTTGGTGTTTTGTTGATGGTGGTTGAAAACACCAGAATCTCCTATAAGTGTTCAATTGGGTTGAGATCTGGGTTGAGTGCTTACCCTCTGGCTTCTGCATGACCAAGCTAAACATCACACATGAACTGAAATACGGGTAACTTCCAAAATAAAGGAAACACAAAAATAAAGAGTGTTAATAGGGCGTTGGGCCACCATGGGCCAGAACAGCTTCAATGCACCTTGGCATAGATTCTACAAGTGTCTGGAACTCTATTGGAGGGATGTGACGCCATTCTTCCATGAGAAATTCCATCATTTGGTGTTTTGTTGATGGTGGTTGAAAACGCCAGAATCTCCTATAAGTGTTCAATTGGGTTGAGATCTGGTGACTACGATGGCCATGGCATATGGTTTACATCATTTTCATGCTCATCAAACCATTCAGTGGCCACTCATGACCTGTGGATGGGGGCATTGTCATCCTATGTAGCCAAAATAATGGCCTGCCCAGCATTTGTATACATGACCCTAAGCATGATGGGGTGTTAATTGCTTAATTAAATCAGGAACCACACCTGTGTGGATTAACCTGCTTTCAATATACACTGCTAAAAAAAATAAAGGGAACACTAAAATAACACATCCTAGATCTGAATGAATGAAATAATCTTATTAAATACTTTTTTCTTTACATAGTTGAATGTGCTGACAACAAAATCACACAAAAATTATCAATGGAAATCAAATTTATCAACCCATGGATGTCTGGATTTGGAGTCACCCTCAAAATTAAAGTGGAAAACCACACTACAGGCTGATCCAACTTTGATGTAATGTCCTTAAAACAAGTCAAAATGAGGCTCAGTAGTGTGTGTGGCCTCCACGTGCCTGTATGACCTCCCTACAACGCCTGGGCATGCTCCTGATGAGGTGGCGGATGGTCTCCTGAGGGATCTCCTCCCAGACCTGGACTAAAGCATCCGCCAACTCCTGGACAGTCTGTGGTGCAACGTGGCGTTGGTGGATGGAGCGAGACATGATGTCCCAGATGTGCTCAATTGGATTCAGGTCTGGGGAACGGGCGGGCCAGTCCATAGCATCAATGCCTTCCTCTTGCAGGAACTGCTGACACACTCCAGCCACATGAGGTCTAGCATTGTCTTGCATTAGGAGGAACCCAGGGCCAACCGCACCAGCATATGGTCTCACAAGGGGTCTGAGGATCTCATCTCGGTCCCTAATGGCAGTCAGGCTACCTCTGGCGAGCACATGGAGGGCTGTGCGGCCCCCCAAAGAAATGCCACCCCACACCATGACTGACCCACCGCCAAACCGGTCATGCCGGAGGATGTTGCAGGCAGCAGAATGTTCTCCACGGCTTCTCCAGACTCTGTCACATCTGTCACATGTGCTCAGTGTGAACCTGCTTTCATCTGTGAAGAGCACAGGGCGCCAGTGGCGAATTTGACAATCTTGGTGTTCTCTGGCAAATGCCAAACGTCCTGCACGGTGTTGGGCTGTAAGCACAACCCCCACCTGTGGACGTCGGGCCCTCATACCACCCTCATGGAGTCTGTTTCTGACCGTTTGAGCAGACACATGCACATTTGTGGCCTGCTGGAGGTCATTTTGCAGGGCTCTGGCAGTGCTCCTCCTGCTCCTCCTTGCACAAAGGCGGAGGTTGCAGTCCTGCTGCTGGGTTGTTGCCCTCCTACAGCCTCCTCCACGTCTCCTGATGTACTGGCCTGTCTCCTGGTAGCGCCTCCATGCTCTGGACACTACACTGACAGACACAGCAAACCTTCTTGCCACAGCTCGCATTGATGTGCCATCCTGGATGAGCTGCACTACCTGAGCCACTTGTGTGGGTTGTAGACTCCGTCTCATGCTACCACTAGAGTGAAAGCACCGCCAGCATTCAAAAGTGACCAAAACATCAGCCATGAAGCATAGGAACTGAGAAGTGGTCTGTGGTCACCAACTGCAAAACCACTCCTTTATTGGGGGTGTCTTGCTAATTGCCTATAATTTCCACCTGTTGTCTATTCCATTTGCACAGTGTACTTTGTATCTCTCATTTACTCAAGTGTTTCCATTATTTTGGCAGTTACCATTAGCTTCAAATAAAGCAGCAAAGGAGAAGTGAGAGAGGTACAGGAAACATATCATTACTGTACGAGCGTACTGAAGGCTTGAACCTCTTTTTCTCAGACATTTCTCTTTTATAAAATTGCTCACACATAAGGCAGAGTTGTTTTACAATCTTGCCTGGATTCTCCCGTATTACGAAGTACCACACACAAACTGGTCAACTCCATCAAGGTAAGTGACATCAACATATTTAAGAACAGAAAAAAAGTTTGGAAATAGTCATAAAAAAATAAAATAAACTTCTATAGTCTATTATTTTGAGAACCTAACCATAAGGAAATCCAATAGTGAGATTTTGTCCATCATTCCCAGAATTTATAGGTTACGGTCTATATTGACCCGGATCGCTTGAATTCAATTTCTGGGAGATCAAAATTGCACAATATCAGTACATAAAAAATAGTTTTTTTATACTTACTGAGAGTTACCAGTCAACCTCACTCTGATCTCTTTTCTCCCTCTTTTCTCAGAAATATGAATGGCTCCCGGGTCCGCGTCTTGCTGTACAGTGTAGTACTAATGGGAATAGCAGTATCTGCTAATGAAGGATCTGGGGCTAACCTTGACACAACCAGAGGAACATCTGGAACTACAGGTTTAACCAAAGCAGACAAGTCAATAAATCAAACCTCAACCAAAGATTTTCAATCAGAATCAACAACGCCAGCTACACTCTACACCAGCGCAACATCTGGAACCAACAGCCCAGTAAACACCAAAACACCATCCAGAGCCTACACCAAGCCTAGTGGCCAACCTCTAACTGTAGCCCAATGCACTCCTTGCCCCAACTGTCTGTTTGAGAAGAAAAAGTTCACCATCCTGCTGATAGTGACAGGTTGCCTGTTGGTCCTGTGTACCATCCTGCTGGTCTCCACTGTGGTGCTGTTATGCCAGGTCCACCACCTGAAGCGCCAGCCATGTAGCAGCACCATGAGCAGCCACCCCACACGCATCAACGTAGACCTGGTGAGTGGTGCTGGGTACCTGGGCACTGGCCAGAGGACCAAGGAGAGGCCTGGCTCTGAGCCCAGTGAGACAAGCCAGATGATGGCAGAGCTCAGACAGACGCAGGAGGGGGAGATGGGCAAGGAAGAGGAGCCAGAGAAGGAAGACAAGGTGCAAGGGAAAGATGAGACGGCGAAGGACACACCCAAGAAGGAAGAGAAGGAGGCAGCCACGGCTAACGGCACATCAGGAAGTGCTGAAAATGGAGCGGCAGAAGCAGCAGGAGCTGCAACCCCCAGCCAGGAGAGCCCAGTCACCACCACCACCACCACCACCAAGCAGCCTGCAGAGCCCTCTGACCCCGCAGCCACAACAGCCTCTCCTTCCTCCCAGGCCTCCAGTGATGTGGTTGTGGGGTGAGGGCGCACTCATGGTGACCTTCTCAGACCGCATACTGATTGGTACAGCACAGTTTTATTCAACAGCTTCTATTGGCATGCCCTAATGAGACTATCTGCTTTTGCTCTGACAGGTGTTTGCTTAGACAACAAGAGTGATTTTTCAATACCACAGTAGCTTTATACACTATGCTTGCATTCTCATTCGAAACTTGGGAAATAATTACTATTATGATAATGTAATACAAATCAATGTACCAGAAGAAGTTGACTGTAATGAGAATGTTTAATATTTAAAACAAAAAGTAGTGTTAGTTAAAATGTATAGCCATCCTCAGTGTCACTGATCAGTGGAATGACTCCTATTTTGTCTAGTGGTTATATCACAGCTTGCTTGTTGTCACATTTCCCTCACTTCTCCTTTTTTAGACATTCTAAATGCAATAGAAATGCTGCTGATATTACAAAAGCAGAACCAACCCACCACCAGCACTGACCTGTAGTATCAGGTCAAGTAAAGAGACTAAATTTAAAGGATTTTAAGCAACAAAGCTCTTCCAGAAACACTCTCACAATGTATTACTACAATTCAATATCACTTCCTTGGTCTTTTCTCTACAGTAAGGAAGAGTTTCAACATTTCTACTGTAGCGCCATCTGTCCTTCTGTCTACAAACCTTTGCATACAACAATAAATAATTAGGACACCTTGTCAAGTGCTTCCTGAGTGCTTCTTCCCTGCTACAGAGAGTGTATCTGAGAGACCGCTAATTGTGTATGAGTGTTTGTGTGAGAGTGTGCATGTGGATCCATTACAGAGAGTGTGAGGCTGGGCATTAGTAAGCAGAGTGAGTCCGTCTCTCTGCTGGGCACTACCACTGGGCTCTGAAAGAATGCCCTGTTTTCACTGACCAGAGAGGGAAAAAAACACAAAGCACAAAACCACATTCTAAACGTCCGCACCACCACGGATCCCTGCTTTGTGTTGCCAACCTCTTTCTGAAATATTTATTCAGCTACTTATGGCTGACAACATGATGAATGCGTGGATTTATTGCATGTCAAGCCTAAATGGGTTGTCTGTGAGGAGGACATAATACTGACTACCAACAACAACTTCAATCCAAATGCAAAGGTTATCCCATTACTGCAATATGTGTAGGGGGGGAATGGACTTCAAATTGGGTGCATAACTATTATAGCAAAAAATCTATGTGAAGAACATCGTTGTACCACAACAAAATCAATTCACTTCCATGGTGCAGTGAGTCAATGGAACTGTAGTGATAGTGCTAGCTAAATACAGAGAAATGGAAAGAGGAAGGTGTGGGTAGAGAGAGTGAGAGAGAAAGAGAGACAGGAAGATATTTATTTGAATGAGTGAAAGGATCGTGATTATGAAACATTGGAGTCAGCAGCCCCCATCTCCTCAGTCATCAATAGCTATGAGCCGCTCCGCATCTCTCTACTCCTCTCCTACACCCCTCCCCCCTCTCCTCCCCTCCCCTCCCCCCAACACACACACTCACACTCTTCCCTGCACAGAGCCGGCAGTGGCTTCTCAAGCAATAGGAGCGTACACCGTTTCATGCTTCCTGCATCACTGAACCTAAAGGATAGAAGAGCCAGACACTCCTAACGGTCCATCCTCCAGAGAAGAACGAGGGATGAAGGACAGAACAGCCTAAGAAGGTAAGAAGTGAAAAGTAAGAGAGTGTTAAAAACAGTGAATTAGCGAAAACCGGTCAAACCCAGGAAAAAACTCAGCATTGCAGCAGCCACTCCAGTGTTTCAGGAGACAAAGGCAGGAGATCAGCCTGGGCTGGGGACCACAGAGGAGAGGAGAGACTGGAATGCAAAGATGAGGAAAAGGTGAGTGTCTCTACTCTCTCTCACACACACCGATGGAATCAAATAAAAAACAAGAAAGCAGCAATGCACATACACACACATAAAACCATACATACATGACTGTGGTGCTACAGTAACTGAATCTCTGCACTGTTCACTGTACATCATCTCTGACTCTCTGGCTTGCTGTGGGACTGGCCAGTGTCTCAGTCCTCTCCATAGTCATTTACAAAAACCATCTATTCAGCCTGTTCTAGTAGGAACAACTCCCTGCTCAATAGCTGACACTCACTAACTGGGCTATATATATATATATATATATATATCGAACAGGCTAATTAACATCAGTGAAATGGGACAGCAGGGAATTCACACCTCAAGTGATCTACAACCATCTTCTAAAAGGTATCCCCTACATACTAATAAACAAAGCCAATCAGAACATCCTCTTCAAAACAAACTTAGTCAAAGCATGACAATGCCCACTAGTCTGTTGCTAGGGAGGATGGGGGAACTCCCTTCCTAAATAAATAGGTCCCAGATTGTAGGCGTTAAAGACAAACGTTTAAACCATACTCACATACTGTGTTGCATGCATGAGCATGCTGGAGAAGGCATATCTGCAGCACTGTGACTGACTGAGTGCATCTCTACACACGCTGCCTGATAACTATACCTGCATAATTATGGAGGTCACACTCACACATGTTCAGGTGTGTTTGTACAGTGCATGTACTGCGGCCATGTGCCAGCTATTAGGGAGCCTCCATGGGAGAGAGAGAGGGGCTGTTACAGGGCTGAGCAGAATGGGAGAATGAGATCTGAACTGTAGTCTCTAGTCTGTTCAGCAGCCTCTACTCCACTACTGGTGCAGTCTGCCTCTCATTCATTCACACTGCTAGTTCTTGGTCTACTCCCTATGTGGACTATAAGGTTTTACTACTAGATGCTGCTGCTTTGAGATGTAGCCTAGCTAATAAAGTGGGCTTGCCATCATGTTTCTGACCCATTCCTTCTGTGTTTCAAGGCGTGTGCTACTGATGCCCCTCAGTGGCCCTTCCCACTTTGTGGCCGTGCTATGGCTGTTGATGCTGCTGGGTCTCCAGGCCTTGGCTGTCTGTCCCCCCATGTGTACCTGTAACCGTAGCCACAGGGAGGTGGACTGTTCCTGGAAGGGCCTGAGGACACTGCCCCTGGGCCTGCAGCACAACCTGCACTCCCTCAACCTGTCTCACAACCGCATCCACGACCTGGACGGCCAGCTGAGTACCTTCGCCCACCTCCGCACCCTGGATCTGTCCCACAACAGGCTGGTCCGCCTGCCCACCGCCCTGCCAAAGGCCCTGTGGGAGCTCCATGTTGCAGCCAACCACATCCAACTGCTGGACAAGAATGACACAGCCTACCAGTGGAACCTGCGAGTCCTAGACCTCTCCAACAACAAGCTGGAGCGGGCCGTGTTCATCAACAACACCCTGACCAGCCTACGCCTGCTCAACTTCAGCCACAACCACTTCTGGACCGTGCCCACCAACATGCCCGCTAGCCTGGAGACCGTGGACCTGTCCCACAACTCCCTGGTGCTGATGTTGCCTGGCACTCTGAACCGGCTGTCCAGGCTGACCACCTTCTACCTGCACTCCAACCGCTTCTCCTCTGTGGGCCCCAGGGCCTTCAGCCAGCTGGGCAGCCTGAAGCTCCTCTCCCTGGGGGACAACCCCTGGCCCTGTGAGCACCAGACCAACATCACCCACCTGCTGGCCTGGCTCCAGCACACTTCCACCCGCGTGCTGGGCTGCCCCTGCCACACTCACCCCGTCTGTGGAGAGCACCACCCGGCCAGGACTGGAGGGTGGCACTTTGCCTCCTACACTCAACCTCCCCTGGCTGCTGGTACTCAGGATGAGCTGAGCCACCCTCCTCCCCCAGAGGCCCTCACCAGGTGGCCTTGGTACCTGTCAGAGTCTGCCCTGCTCAACACACAGCTCCACACCAGGAGAGCCCAAGGACACCCCAGTGGACCAGAGAACCACAACCTCTTCACAGACCACTACCCGTTCACCTCAACCCCTCTGGCCATTTCCATCCTGCCCACTGAGAGGACCCACACTGACAGCAGCATGTCAACCACAGACAACCACCTCATAACAGACACAACATTTACTACTGACAGCCTCTACACCACAGACATAGCCTTCACCACTGACAACCCCTCTACCATCACAAGGAGAACGGCCACCCTCCGCACCAGGAGTGTCAAGAGGGCCAACCAGGGTGGCTCCCCGGTCCGCAACACCAGCCCAGCCCCCAGTGCCAGGTCTACACTCCCACTAGTACTGAACCTGTGGCTCCTCCTGACTCTCACCCTGTATGTTCTCTGAAAGTGAAAGGAAATGTCTGGAGTTGGAGTTAATGTCCTTGTCACTCTATTGGACATACAACTGCACAAACACACACAAATGAGTATCATTAAACCAACATTCTGTTTTCCATTTTGAATACTGTGTCATACACTTACTACCTCTCAAACGGACTCTTTACTGCATTATTTAATCAATAACATATGACATGCACACAGGTAGCATCCATGTAGACACTATGTACATTTAACACTAGCAGTCTACCACTGTATACATCATTATTGGGATGTTGAAAAAATGCTTTAGTACTCACCATCTATCTGCATAACTCTGTTTTCATCATTAACTTTTAATAGTTTCTTAATGGCTCTTCCTTCACCTCTGAGATGTGTTTGCCTGTTTCTTGACTATTAAACAGAGTTCTTTCCAAACATTCTAGAGGCTATGACCTTGATTCAGCAGCAGGTGGCACCATACTGTACCTTTGTTTCTATTGGCACCACAGTGGGCTACATCACTACAAATACAGTGTGTGTATGTGAGAGAATGTCTATGGGCTGTAGATGGGTGGATCTCAGGTAGAGACAGTGTTGTGAATTTCACTACATACAGGGCCTTCAGACAGGATTCATACTCCTTGACTTATTCCACATTTTGTTGTGTTACAGCCTGAATTCCAAATTGATTAAACAGATTGTTTTCACACCCATCTACCCACAATACCCCATAACGACACATTTAAAACATGTTTTTAGAAATAGTTGCACATTTATTGAAATTGAAATACAGAAATACATTTCTGTTTTACATGAGTATTCACACCACTGAGTCAATACTTTGTAAAAGCAACTTCGGCAGCAATTACAGCTGTGAGTCTTTCTGTGTAAGTCTCTAAGAGCTTTCCACACCTGGATAGTGCAAGATTTTCCCATTATTATTTTCAAAATTCTTCAAGCTCTGTCAAATTGGTTGTTGATCATTGCTATACAACCATTTTCAGGTCTTGCAATAGATTTTCAAGTAGATTTAAGTCAAAACTGTTACTCGGCCACTCAGGAACATTCACTGTCTTCTTGGTAAGCAACTCCAGTATAGATTTGGCCTTGTGTTTTAGGTTATCGTCCTGCTGAAAGGTGAATTAATCTCCCAGTGTCTGGTGGAAAGCAGACTGTACCAGGTTTTCCTCTAGGACTTTGCCTGTGCTTAGCTCCATTCCATTTCTTTTTTTATCCTGAAAAACTCTCCAGTCCTTAACGATTACAAGCATACCCATAACATGAATCAGCACCACTATGCTTGAAAATATGAAGAGTGGTACTCAGTAATGTGTTGTATTGGATTTGCCCCAAACATAACACTTTGAGGACAAAAAGTGAATTGCTTTGCTACATTTTTTTGCAGTATCACTTTAGTGCATTGTTGCAAACAGGATGCATGTTTTGGAATATTTGTATTCTGTACAGGCTTCCTTCGTTTCACTCTGACAATTAGGTTAGGATTGTGGAGTAACTACAATGTTGTTGATCCATCCTCAGCTTTCTCCCATCACAGCCATTAAACTCTGTTTTAAAGTCACCATTGACCTTCCACTGCGGCAACTGAGTTAGGAAGGATGCCTGTATGTTTGTAGTGACGGTGTATTGATACACCATCCAAAGTGTAATTAATAACTTCACCATACTCAAAGGGATATTCAATGTCTGCTTTTTAATTTTTACCCACATACCAATAAGTGCCCTTCTTTGCGAGGCATTGGAAAACTTCCCTGGTCTTTGTGGTTGAATCTGTTTGAAATTCACTGCTTGACTGAGGGACCTTACAGATGATTGTATGTTTGTGGTACAGAGATGAGGTAGTCATTCAAAAATCATGTTAAACACTATTATTGCACACAGAGCAAGTCCATGCAACTTATTATGTGACTTGTTCAACTAATTTTTACATTTTAACTTATTTAGGCTTGCCAAAGCAAAGGGGTTGAATACTTATTGACTCAAGACATTTCAGCGTTTCATTTGTTATTAATTAGTAAAAATGTCAATAAACATAATATAACTTTAACATTATGGGGTATTGTGTGTAGGTCAGTGACAAAAAACTCTCAATTTAATCAATTTTAAATTCAGGCTGTAACACAACAAAATGTGGAAAAAGTCAAGGGGTGCAAATACTTTCTGAAGGCACTGTATATCTACGGTGTCCACAGATCGATTTATAAGCAGAAATGTCTGTCGGAACCGGTACCAGAACCACGCAGGTCCACTAAATAGAGGATTTTACATCTAAGAGGTTTATTGCAATACAGCTTCAATATGAAAACAACTCATGAGAAATTTACTAGACTTACAAATAAAATACTGTAAAAAATGGTGTTCTACCCAGCATGCTTAGTGACTGTGACATGTTGGTTGTCTTATTTTCAGGAGAGATCATTTCTACATTGGCAATTTGACCACAGAAAGAGACTGCAATTTCATAGTGGTTGTGATGGCCAGTTACTTGCTGGCTCAACATAGGATTGGGATGGAAACCACTACCATCAGTAGTGCTACCATGGCGGTCAACAGCACGATGGCGGTCAACAGCCTAGCGGTTAAGAGCGTTGGGCCAGTAACCGAAAGGCCGCTGGTTCGAATCCCAGAGCCGGCAAGGTGGAAAAATCTGCCGTTCTGCCTTTGAGAAAGGCAGTTAATCCCCCACAACAACTGCTCCCCGGGCGCCGATGATGTGGACGTTGATTAAGGCAGCCCCCCGCACCTCTCTGATTCAGAGGGGTTGGGTTAAATGCAGAAGCCACATTTTGGTTGAATGCATTTCAGTTGTACAACTGACTAGGTATCCCATTTCCTTTCCCTTCTCCCCCACTCTGCTCTCTGTAGGGGCCATGCTCCTGGCTCTGTCCTCCACTCTTCTGCAGCAGGTAGCTACTCTCTGATGGCAGCAAGGCAGCTGAATAAATCACTTTACTCACCATGCAACCTGGGATGTCCAACTATTCTTTAACTACATATATTCTCACCCTAAGAAAGACCATGATGACCTGTAATCATTGGATACTTTACAAAAACCTTTTGTTATCTACTAAAAGAAAACATAGCGCACACATATGTTTTAAAATGTTTGAGTTCAGGTGGGCCTTCGCGCTTCAGCAAACAAAGAAAAGGAGGGGTGCTCAACAACAATGACAAAAATGATGAGAAGGGTTTGCCAAGAAAAACTTCCAAAAGGACTAATTCAAGGCAGAAAGCAGTTGGAGCACTCAAAAAAAAAGGTATAGATTGATTTATTTTAGCTGTACGGGATGAGAACAGGTGACTGACGTTTTGACGAACAATGACTTTGTTTGTTGAAATCAGCGCTACAACGGCAGAACGCTCAGAAACTTGATCCTTTAGGGATGAACAAGCACAAGACATTCTCCAACCGCACTCCCTGTTCAATGACTTGGCACAAGTACCTGAACCTGCAGAATGAACAAAAAAAGTTGAGTGTTGAGCTCCTAGACATGAGAAAAAGAGAAACATGCCATTTATTGCACTCTGTCTCCTTATCTGAGTATTGGTTTGAGAAAATGCATACCAAGGGGTTTACGCATTCACAAAGCCCCAGCTTTTGGCTAAAATTATGAGTTTTGGGGCAAATGGGAACAAGTCTACAATAAATGCTCACTGGATTTGATGCTGCTCTCCATTGAGAAAACCAAGGCAGAGAAAGACAGAATATCTCACATTGACGCACAATAGCTCGAAATGAAAATCCAACAAAAGGTGGATATAGAGACCTTTAACACACTCTCCAATGAGATATCAACATCCTTCACTGCATTCCAAAACGACCTGAAGCGACACAAGCTACAGAAATACAAACGAGACAAGGGACTACCAAGATGGCATCGTCTATGACTGGCAAGGCAAACGAGTGAGATTCAACTACAGATTCCGCCCCCCTGTGACCAGACGAGACGACTTTCACCTGTCCTCTGCCAGTGAGAAGACGTTTCAGAGCATAGTAACTCCAATACCTCCCGAACCAATCCCGCTTTTATCAGGGAGCGAGGCAACCAGCCCCAACCCACAGAAGACGACGCAGGGCTCGAGGGGGAGGAAATCTACCCCCAGCCCACATGAGGAAGTCCAGTCGGAACCAGGGCCTCTGACTGATGAGTCAGTCCTGAGTAAAGTACTATTTTTCTCCCCTTTTGCATTAAAAGTTGACACTTTCAAATTTGTTCAACAATTACATTTAAATAATGTATTCTGTGCTAATATGCAACCACTGAGTAATGGCAATGCAGTGTTTAGAAACTATAATGCATCTGGTATTTCTGCTGTGAGAGAAGTCGAGTTTTGTGCCTTGTGCTAATTTGAGTCCCTCTGTTCTCACCTACAGTAGGCTGATATATCATGATTTTGCTAAACTGGCCCGCAATACCCCTAAACAAACAGTTAATCTCAGTAATGATGAAAAAAATGCTTCAGATATTGTGATAAAAAACGCTGATAAGGGAGGGTCTACTGTGGTATTAAGCAGAGAACAATATGATAGTGAGGTCTATGCTCAACTCTCTGACAATAAGTTCTATGTCCCTCTCTGTAGATAGCTTCATTGATGACGCTTTTTCACAGGGTTAGATAACAGAAAAGGACTTTCTCAATCGCCACACACAGCCATTCCAGTCTATTATGGCATACCGAAAATACAAAAAGTTGGGAAAACCCTTTCCGTCCCATAGTGTCAGGTAACAGTAGCCCTATTGAACCCCTTTCTCAGTATGTTGATTTCTTAATCTCTAAATTTGTGCCAGCATTGCCAGCCTTTTTAGGAGATACCAGGGATGTGCTTATGATAATCAATAACTATAGATGCGACACCGAAAGCATCTTGGTTATACTTGGCTTTCAGTCTCTCTACACTAATATCCTGCATGATGCAGGCCTACGAGCGCTCGCTCACCATGTCGACACTAGATCGGAGGATATCTTACCTCCGTCTAACTTTATTCTGTCTCTCACTGAAAAAGCCCTCACATCAAATTACTTCCAATATGTGGGCAGTTTCTACCAACAGATTCGGAGTACAGCGATGGGCGCTGCATTCGCTCCTGGGGGAAGGAAAGCACTAGTGGGGATGAACAACTCACATCCGGTTGTAAATCAAGGGAGAAGATCCAGGCTCTCCCTCTCAAGATTCACCAAAGGAATGTTCTTTTTTTATTTGTATTTTAATTTATTTTACCTTTATTTAACTAGGCAAGTCAGTTAAGAACAAATTCTTATTTACAATGACAGCCTACACCTGCCAAACCCGGACGACGCTGGGCCAATTGTGCGCCGCCCTATGGGACTCCCAATCACGGCCGGTTGTGATACAGCCTGGAATTTAACCAGGGGGTCTGTAGTGACGCCTCAAGCACTGAGATGCAGTGGCTTAGACCGCTGCCCCACTCGGGAGCCCAGCTCTTTGTTTCAACATACGTTTTCCTGCTGAAACAATATTTCTAACGTAGAATGTGGGGAATGGTCAGAGGCGATCTATAGAACACTAATGTCATTTTGTTTGTTATTTTGTGATGTCATTAAAAATGGAAATACTGTAACTTGGAAAGTATACCCACTACATATATGATGTTTCCTTACTATGCTTTGTGCATGTAATATGAAAAATGATTAAAGTATTTTTGTTAAGAGAGGGATGTGATTTGAGACGCTATAAGAGATCATCCTGTTACTCTGCTCAAACCATCGTATTACGCTACTCTCATCACCGCACTGTGGAACAATCGATACGGCTGTCATGTGCCTTTTACTGAGGAGTGGCTTCCGTCTGGCCACTCAACCATAAAGGCCTGATTGGTGGAGTGTTGCAGAGATGGTTGTCCTTCTGGAAGGATCGCCCATCTCCACAGAGGAACTCTGGAGCTCTGTCAGAATGACCATCGGGTTCTTGGTCACCTCCCTGATCAAGGCCCTTCTCCCCGATTGCTCAGTTTGGCTGGGCGGCCAGCTCTAGGAAGAGTCTTGGTGGTGCCAAACTTTTTCCATTTAAGAATGATGGAGACCATGGTGTACTTGGGGACCTTCAACGCTTCAGACATTTTTTGGTACCCTTTCCCCGATCTGTGCCTTGACACAATCCAGTCTCGGAGCTCTATGGACAATTCCTTCGACCTCATGGCTTGGTCTTTGCTCTGACATGCATTGTCAACTGTGGGACCTTATATAGACAGGTGTGTGCCTTTCCAAATCATGTCCAATCAATTGAATTTACCACAGGTCGACTCCAATCAAGTTATAGAAACATTAAAGATGATCAATGGAAACAGGATGCACCTGAGCTCAATTTCGAGTCTCATAGCATAGGGTCTGAATACTTAAGTAAAGAAGGTATCTGTTTTTTATTTGTAATACATTTCTAAAAACCTGTTTTCACTTTGTCATTATGGGGTATTGTGTGTAGATTGCTGAGGATTTGTATTTTTAAAATCCATTTTAGAATAAGGCTGTAACGTAATAACGTGGAAAAGTCAAGGGGTCTGAATACTTTCCGAAGGCACTGTATATATATTATTGTAAATATTGATCACATTCCTTGTGTATGATCATATATTTTGATACATTAAATGTTCAATATTGTGAACCTAAGTTATATATTTTTTACCTCCTGTTTCAGGAGGTGATGTCACTGAGTACTGCCCCTATATATAGGACCTTCCACCTCCACCTGGGATATAGATGTTTGATGAAGACCTAAGGGTCGAAACATTGTTATATATAAAATCAACTGGGAGCATGAGAAGCAGTGTGAGGAGTTTGTCTACAACTCCAGCACCTGGGAAAGTACCTGGATGTGCGTATTTTCTTCAGCTTTTGCTATTGATTAACCAAACATGATCTCTTATTACTGGTATTATTTTGTGCTATAATTTGCCATTTACCTTGAAACATTATTTTCTTACATTGTTGTGTCTAAATAGGCCACTAGGCTATAAATAGGCGCTAAGTGCAGCGGTCAAGTCACTGAGAAAGACGTCAGATTGACATTGAAACATCAGTCACCGGTTCTCACCTGTACAATGGATTAAAGTGAGCTAAAATAAATCAATCTATGCCGTTTTTGTTGAGTGCTCCAACTCCTTTCTGCCTCGTTTTAAAATGTTTCTAGCGTCAATGTTTCTGATTAAATGAATCATGATGAAGTGAATACAATGTTTTGTGACTCTCTCTGTTGCAATGTGACAGTCTGCAGACCTCACCTGCGTGTGATGTAGTAGAAGACAGGGTTGCCGTTCTTGGAGGTGCCAGCCTGGTAGAAGATGTTGAGGGTCTTCAGGGCTTTGAACTCCTCTTTCTCATGTACCTGGTGTCTGAGGTAGCAAATACAAGATAGGGAGATACTTTCCGAGTACTACTTAAACAACCACTGTCTCAGATGCTATCATACCCAGTTTTATGAGACCGCCTTGTGACAGTGAGATCTATGTGATTAATAGTATCTTGATGAGTGTACCTGGTCATAAATTCTTCAAACTTGGAGCTGGTGAGGTTGAGGCTGGACCAGTGGGTGTCAGCCACAGGTTTGTGCTCTGGGGGCCCCAGGTAGGCCAGGAGGGTAGCCATCTTGTCAAACGGCCGTCTCCCCACTGCCTTGTGATCCCTGATGAAGAACAAGGAAGTGGTCAGCACGACATCTCCCACACGCAGCAGGTACAGAGGTGCACTACAGTTTCAAACAACGCCTCCTGTGAGCTGGGCTTGGTGATTGGTGTAAACAAATGTGGGCTTTTGTTTATCCTAAAGATCTGGGTAATGTAAAACATCTTATATAGAAACAGATATATCTCTTATAAAAGTCCTCCCAGCAATACAACAGACCAACTCTGTTTGGACCGTTCAGCCCACTCACCTGTTGCTGGAGAGGTACTGTCCTATCTTCTCCTGGTTGTTCCACAGCAGCCGGTGCAGGGCCAGAACGTTGCCATCACTAATGAAGGACAGGCTGTGGTTGACTGAGTCACTGGCAGGGCAGTCTGATGCAATGTCCAGGAAAAACCTACACCACAAAGGAACAAAATTCTGCTAGGCCTGATAGGGTAATGAGTATCCAGTAAAAACATCCAAGACATTTAAATGTATCCTCAGAGAGGGAAGATCCTTCTGTTATCATACCTTCTAGCTGCATCAAAGTTGCTTTTGACAAAGTCATTAAAAGGCCTCATGTGCTCCTCTTTGGTGAATAAAACATGGTTGGCAATGCTCTGCAGGATCTGGAAGAGACAAATAAAAACATGTCAACAACAAGGCAAGATCCTCAAATACAATATACCATGTGACTGAATTCAGGAAGGTGAGCTTATCAAATTTTCAAGACCGGCTTTTTAACATTTTATAAAAGTGTAAAAAAATAAAATACAAAATAAAATAAAAAATGGAGACAGGTAGGAGTAAAATGCAATTGAATGATAGATTTTCTTTGTAAACGCATGAGTTACCATGGCATTGTCCTCCAGATTAAGTTTCTCCATTACCCCCCTCCATTATCTCAACCAATCATGGATCCTGCCTTTCTCTAGGGTTGGGCGGTATTCAGATTTGCATAGAGTCATATCGTTTCTGTACCATACCGGGGTATACGGTCTTACCGAATGTGCACACAAGGTGCCGCTATTTCAACAACAAGAAAAAAACACATACCTACATACATACAGTTGAAGTCGGAAGTTTACATACACCTTAGCCAAATACATTTAAACTCAGTTTTCACAATTCCTGACATTTAATCCTAGTAAAAATTCCTTGTCTTAGGTCAGTTAGGATCACCACTTTATTTTAAGAATGTGAAATGTCAGAATAATAGCAGAGAGAATGATTTATTTCAGCTTTTATTTCTTTCATCACGTTCCCAGTGGTTCAGAAGTTTACATAAACTCAATTAGTATTTGGTAGCATTGCCTTTAAATTGTTTAACTTGGGTCAAACGTTTCGGGTAGCCTTCCACAAGATTCCCACAATAAGTTGGGTGAATTTTGGCCCATTCCTCCTGACAGAGCTGGTGTAACTGTGTCAGGTTTGTAGGCCTCCTTGCTCGCACACGCCTTTTCAGTTCTGCCTACAAATTTTCTATAGGATTGAGGTCAGGGCTTTGTGATGGCCACTCCAATACCTTGACTTTGTTGTCCTTAAGCCATTTTGCCACAACTTTGGAAGTATGCTTGGGGTCATTGTCCATTTGGAAGAACCATTTGCGACCAAGCTTTAACTTCCTGACTGATGTCTTGAGATGTTGCTTCAATATATCCACATAATTTTCCTTCCTCATGATGTCATCTATTTTGTGAAGTGCACCAGTCCCTCCTGCAGCAAAGCACCCCCACAGCATGACGCTGCCACCCCCGTGCTTCACGGTTGGGATGGTGTTCTTCGGCTTGCAAGCATTCCCCTTTTTCCTTCAAACATAACGATGGTCATTATGGCCAAACAGTTCTATTTGTGTTTCATCAGACCAGACGACATTTCTCCAAAAAGTACAATCTTTGTCCCCATGTGCAGTTGCAAACCATAGTCTGTCTTTTTTATGGCGGTTTTGGAGAAGTAGCTTCTTCCATGCTAAACGGCATTTCAGGTTATGTTGATATAGGACTCGTTTTACTGTGGATATAGATACTATTGTACCTGTTTCCTACAGCATCTTCACAAGGTCCTTTGCTGTTGTTCTGGGATTGATTTGCATTTTTCGCACCAAAGTAAGTTCATCTCTAGGAGACAGAACGCGTCTCCTTCCTGAGCGGTATGACAGCTGCGTGGTCCCATGGTGTTTATACTTGCGTACTATTGTTTGTACAGATGAACGTGGTACCTTCAGGCGATTGGAAATTGCTCCCAAGGATGAACCAGACTTGTGGAGGTCTACAAAAATGTTTTCTGAGGTCTTGGCTGATTTCTTTTCATTTCCCCATGATGTCAAGCAAAGAGGCACTGAGTTTGAAGGTAGGCCTTGAAATACATCCACAGGTACACCTCCAATTGACTCAAATGATGTCAATTAGCCTATCAGAAGCTTCTAAAGCCATGACATCATTTTCTGGAATTTTCCAAGCTGTTTAAAGGCCCAGTCAACTTAGTGTATGTAAAATTCTGATCCACTGGAATTGTGATACAGATTATTTCACTTATAATTCACTGTATGTAAACAATTCTTGGAAAAATTACTTGTGTCATGCACAAAGTATATGTCCTAACCGACATGCCAAAACTATAGTTTGTTAACAAGAAATTTGTGGTGGTTGAAAAACAAGTTTTAATGACTCCAACCTAAGTGCATGTAAACTTCAGACTTCAACTGTACATATATACATACACTACCGTTCAAAAGTTTTTTTGTCCATTAAAATAACATAAAATTGATCAAAAATACAGTGTAGACATTGTTAATGTTATAAATGGCTATTGTAGATGGAAACGGCTGATTTTTAATGGAATATCTACATAGGCGTACAGAGGCCCATTATCAGCAACCATCAGTCCTGTGTTCCAATGGCACGTTGTGTTTGCTAATCCAAGTTAATCATTTTAAAAAGGCTAATTGATCATTAGAAAAACCTTTTTCAATTATGTTAGCACAGCTGAAAACTGTTGTGCTGATTAAAGAAGCAATAAAACTGGCCTTCTTGAGAATAGTTGAGTTTCTGGAGCATCAGCAATTGTGGGTTCGATTACAGGCTCAAAATGGCCAGAAACAAATAACTTTCTTCGGAAACTCGTCAGTCTATTCTTGTTCTGAGAAATGGCTATTCCAAGTGCGAAATTGCCAAGAAACTGAAGATATCGTACAACGCTTTGTACTACTCCCTTCACAGAACAGCGCAAACTGGCTCTAACCAGAATAGAATGAGGAGTGGGAGGCCCCGGTGCACAACTGAGCAAAAGGACAAATACATTGGAGTGTCTAGTTTGAGAAACAGACGCCTCACAGGTCCTCAACTGGCAGCTTCATTAAATAGTACCCGCAAAACACCAGTCTCAACGTCAACAGTGAAGAGGCGACTCCGGGATGCTGACCTTCTAGGCAGAGTTGCAAAGAAAAAGCCATATCTCAGACTGGCCAATAAAAAGAAAAGAATAAGATGGGCAAAAGAACACACACACTAGACAGAGGAAGATTGGAAAAAAGTGTTATGGACAGACAAATCGAAGTTTGAGGTGTTCGGATCACAAAGAAGAACATTTGTGAGACGCAGACCAAATGAAAAGATGCTGGAGGAGTGCTTGATGCCATCTGTCAAGCATGGTGGAGGCAATGTGATGGTCTGACCCAAAGCACAGCTCCAAACTATGCAATAACTATTTAGGGAAGAAGCAGTCAGCTGGTATTCTGTCTATAATGGAGTGGCAAGCACAGTCACCGGATCTCAACCCTATTGAGCTGTTGTGGGAGCAGCTTGACCGTATGGTACGTAAGAAGTGCCCATCAAGCCAATCCAACTTGTGGGAGGTGCTTCAGGAAGCATGGGGTGAAATATCTTCAGATTACCTCAACAAATTGACAACTAGAATGCAAAGATCTGCAAGGCTGTAATTGCTGCAAATGGAGGATTATTTGACGAAAGCAAAGTTTGAAAGACACAATTATTATTTATATTAAAAATCATTATTTCTAACCTTGTCAATGACTACATTTCCTATGCATTTTGCTATATTTCCTATTCAAGCTCATTTCATGTATGTTTTCATGGAAAACAAGGATATTTCTAAGCGACCCCAAACTTTTGAACGGTAGTATATATATAAATAAATAAAATAAATAAATACACACATAAATCCATACATCACCGATCAAACGTTTTAGAACACCTACTCATTCAAGTTTATTTATTTATTTACTATTTTCTACATTGTAGAATAATAGTGAAGACATCAAAACTATGAAATAACACATGTGGAATCATGTAGTAACCAAAAAAGTGTTTAACAAATCAAAATATATTTTATATTTGAGATTCTTCAAATAGCCACCCTTTGCCTTGATGACAGCTTTGCACACTCTTGGCATTCTCTAAACCAGCTTCATGAGGTAGTCACCTGGAATGCATTTCAATTAACAGGTGTGCCTTCTTAAAAAGTTAATTTGTGGAATTTCTTTCCTTCTTAATGTGTTTGAGCCAATCGGTTGTGTTGTGACAATGTAGGCGGGTCTACAGAAGATAGCTCTATTTGGTAAAAGACCAAGTCCATATTATGGCAAGAACAGCTGAAATAAGCAAAGAGAAACAACAGTCCATCATTACTTTAAGACATGAAGGTCAGTCAATAAGAACAATTTCAAGAACTTTGAAAGTTTCTTAAAGTGCAGTCGCAAAAACCATCAAGCGCTATGATTAAACTGGCTCTCATGAGGACCGCCACAGGAATGGAACACCCAGATTTACCTCTGCTGCAGAGGATAAGTTCATTAGAGTTACCAGCCTCAGAAATTGCAGCCCAAATAAATGCTTCACAGAGTTCAAGTAACAGACACATCTCAACATTAACTGTTCAGAGAATGCATGAATCAAGCCTTCATGGTCGAATTGCTGCAAAGAAACCACTACTAAAGGACACCAATAAAAATAAGAGATTTTCTTGGGCCAAGAAACATGAGCAATGGACATTAGACCGGTGGAAATATGTCCTTGGTCTGGAGTCAAAATCTGAGATTTTTGGTTCCAACCGCTGTGTCTTTGTAAGACGCGGTGTGGGTGAACGGATGATCTCCGCATGTGGATTTCCCACCGTAAAGCATGGAGGAGGTGGTGTTATGGTGTGGGGGTGCTTTGCTAGAGACACTGTCTATGATTTATTTAGAATTCAAGGCACACTTAACCAGCATGGCTACCATAGCATTCTGCAGCAATATGCCATCCCATCTGGTTTGGGCTTAGTGGGACTATCATTTGTTTTTCAACAGGACAATGACCCAACACATCTCCAGGCTGTGTAAGGGCTATTTGACCAAGAAGGAGAATGATGGAGTGCTGCATCAGATGACCTGGCCTCCACAATCCCCCGACCTCAACCAAATTGAGATGGTTTGGGATGAGTCGGACCACAGAGTGAAGGAAAAGCAGCCAACAAGTGCTCAGCATATGTGGGAACTCCTTCAAGACTGTTGGAAAAGCATTCCAGGTGAAGCTGGTTGAGAGAATGCCAAGAGTGTGCAAAGCTGTCATCAAGGCAAAGGGTGGATAAAATAAAGAAAAACACTTGAATGAGTAGGTGTTCTAAAACTTTTGATCAGTAGTGTACATACATACATACTAAACAAAAATATAAACGCAACATGTAAAAGTGTTGGTCCCCATGTTTCATGAGCTGAAATAAAAGATCCCAGAAATGTTCCGTACGCAAGAAAAGCTTATTTCTCTAAAATGTTGTGCACAAATTTGTTTACATCCCTGTTAGTGAGCATTTCTCGTTTACCAAGATAATCCATCCACCTGACAGGTGTGGCATATCAAGAAGCTGATTAAACAGCATGATCATTACACAGGTGCACCTTGTGCTGGGGACAATAAAAGGCCACTCTAAAATGTGCAGTTTTGTCACACAACACAATGCCACAGATGTCTCAAGTTTCAAAGGAGCGTGCAATTGGCATGCTGACTACAGAAATGTCCACCAGAGCTGTTGCCAGAGAATTTAATGTTAATTCCTCTACCATAAACCGCCTCCAACTTCATTTTAGAGAATTTGGCAGTACGTCTAACCGGCCTCACAACCACAGACCACATGTAACCACGCCAGCCCAGGACCTCCACATCCGGCATCTTCACCTGCGGGATGGTCTGAGAGCAGCCACCCGGACAGCTGATGAAATTGTGGATTTACACAACTGAAGAATTTCTGTACAAACTGTCAGGAACCGTCTCAGGGAAGCTGATCTGCATGCTTGTCGTCCTCACAAGGGTCTTGACCCGACTGTAGTTCGACGTCGTAACCAACTTCAGTAGGCAAATGCTCACCTTCGATGGCCACTGGCACGCTGGAGAAGTTTGCTCTTCACGGATGAATCCCGGTTCCAACTGTACCAGGCAGAAGGCAGGTATGGCGTCGTGTGGGCGAACGGTTTGCTGATGTCAACAGAGTGCCCCATGGTGGGTGGTGGTGTTATGGTATGGGCAGGCATAAGCTACAGACAACAAACACAATTGCATTTTATCGATGGCATTTTGAATGCACAGAGATAATGTGATGAGATCTTGAGGCCCATTGTCGTGCCATTCATCCGCCACCATCACCTCATGTTTCAGCATGATAATGCAAGTCGCCATGTCACAAGGATCTGTCCACAATTCCTGGAAGTTGAAAATGTCCCAGTTCTTCCACAGCCTGCATACTCAAGACATGTCACCCATTGAGCATGTTTGGGATGCTCTGGATCGACAGCGTGTTCCAGTCCCCTTTGTTTTTACACTGCTGCTACTCGCTGTTTATTATCTATGCAGTCATTTTACCCCTACCTACATGTACAAATTACCTCGACTAACCTGTACCCCCGCACATTGACTCGGTACCGGTACCCCCTGTATATAGCCTCATTATTGTCATTTTATTGTGTTACTTTTTTATATTTTTTATTTTGTACTTTAGATTATTTAGTACATATTTTCTTAAAACTGCATTGTTGGTTAATGGCTTGAAGGTAAACATTTCACGGTAAGGTCCACACCTGTTGTATTCGGCGCATGTGACAAATTTGATTTGATATCCAGCAACTTCGCACAGCTATTGAAGAGGAGTGGGACAACATTCCACAAGACACAATCAACAGCCTGATCAACTCTATGCGAAGGAGATGTGTCACGCCGCATGATGTTCACACCAGATACTGACTGGTTTTCGCCCCTACCTTTTTGTTAAGGTATCTGTGACCAACAGATGCATATCTGTATTCCCATTCATGTTTAATCCATAGATTAGGGCCTAATGAATGTATCTAAATTGACTGATTTCCTTATATGAACTAACTCAGTAAAATGTTGCATTTATATTTTTGTTCAGTGTATAGTCTCCTGAGTGGCGCAGTGGTCTAAGGCACTGTATTGCAGTGCTAGCTGTGCCACTAGAGATCCTGGTTCGAATCCAGGCTCTGTCGCAGCCGGCCGCGACCGGGAGACTCATGGGCAGCGCACAATTGGCCCAGCGTTGTCCAGGGTAGGGGAGGGAATGGCCGGCAGGGATGTAGCTCAGTTGATAGAGCATGGCGTTTGCAACGCCAGGGTTGTGGGTTCGATTCCCACGGGGGACCAGTATAAAAAATATTTTAAAAAAATATATGTATTCACTAACTGTAAGTCGCTCTGGATAAGAGCGTCTGCTAAATGACTAAAATGTAAATGTATTTATACAAAATGTGGGGATGCACAAAACAATTTAGGCAACAGGGATCTTGATCCAGGAGGGGATTGAATGTCACTGCTGTAACCAAGAAGCTTAATCTTGACATCTTGCCACTTAGCAAGCAAGTTAGCAAACCAAATGCATAGCTGGAGGCCTGAGCTGGATATAATTGATTTGATATATCTTAGATTTATTTATAGTTATAAGCAGTGGCGTAGCACACACCCCTGCAGCTTCCACAAGGCATTGGTGGAAGGCAGTGGTGCGAGGCAGTGGTGCACCCCACGCCCCTCCACAAAAAAAGAATATTTAAACGTATTGAAAATCATACCATCTGTATTTTGAAATACACCGGTATACGGTATATCGCCCAAGCCTACCTTTCTCCCTACATAGATCAGTGCTTTCTCTTTCACTAAACTAGGTCACATATTATTAAGTCATTTCATATATGTGGCCTGGGTATCCAGTCCTCTTACCTTGGACATGAGCTTCAATCCCCTCTCTATCCTGGGAGGAGGTTTCTTATCCAGGATGCCCGCCTCGTAGGGCGACACTATGGCAGGGTTGATGAAACGTAGGAACATGGCACTACCCACCGCCCCTATGCTGTTCTGGGGGAAACGCTGGCTGACCACCTGAATGTGAGGTGTTGGAGGAGGGATAGTAAGAACAGAGGATGATTCATTGTTAGAGAGAGGGAGAGGAGGAGAGGGCTTAGGTTGGAGAAGATAGTGTAGAAGGAGACAAAGTATTCCGCAGGCTAGAGGACATAAGATGTCCACATTACCACCAAACCACATTCACACCACTAGGCCCACTTCAAAACTGAGTTAGAGATAAAAAAGGAAAGCAAGGAGCCTGGAAATCTTGATAATAGGGAGAGGAAATTCTCAGACCACTCCTAACTACTAGGGTAGACTTGATACTGTATGCTTATGAAAAAAACACCGGGCAATGTTCAATTAAATCCATCTCCTGAATTGATCAAACGTTCTGCATGTCTGCATACAAAAATGTAATCAGCTGTAACACAAGTGTGTTTTAATAGGGAGATTGCAGCAGTGGAATTACTAGACTGTAAGATAATGCAGCCTCATGAAAATAATTGTTTCATTACTGCTGCAATAACACAAGCTGTTATTAACAGCCTGCAGTAGTAGATTGCTTTGAAAGGTCAGCCAATTACCAGGCCTCTACAGCTTACTCATCAGTCCCATGAACACAGGATATTGACCGCTAGCAATATTAACCATGATGCCAATACGACATCTCAACCTACGAAGGAGGCACAACTACTCATGATAACAGGCTGCTAGCTCACATTGTTCATTTCAGATACAGTAAATGCAGTAGGAAGAACTGAGGGTGTGGTCATCAGATCATCCCTGGGGTGGAGGTCTTTCTGCACTGCGAAACATAGCTGGTAATGAACTGCACAGAAAGCCTTAGGTCTTCACAAGAGTTCCAAATTCCAGGAGAGCTTTTCAAAAAGCTGAGCGGTCCCAGGATACAGAGTCGCACCACAAAACTATTTGCCAAAGTGCTCCGTGACCTGCAAAACAAGCCCCTTATCATAGACCCCCAAACTCCTTTGAACACCAACCCCAAAACCCCACACCAGTAAAAGCCCAGAGGAGCAGTGGATAGGAATACTGTAGCTACAACAGTGCCACCAGTTTGTGGTGAGCGTACATTGAAATCGAGAGAAACTTGTTTGGAAGTAAAAGTATTAGTAGTGGGATTTCAGGTGAGGATTGTAAAGTAGTTTAGGTGATGGAACAGCAAGAGGGTGAATGACTTTCCCTTTCTTTCAAGAGAGTGGCTAGGGAGAACGTTCTCTGAACTTACTGCTTTTTTGCTTTCCTTTTTCTCTTTAACTGTGGCTTTATTCAGTAGAGAGTGGCAAGTTGCCTACAGAACAGAGATGGGCACAAAAAAAGTCACGACAAACACACACACCACAAACACACTGCACAAATACTACTACATTCATATACAGAACCTGCACAAAAGTGCAAATGATTCCTATGCCATCAAAGCTTACCTTGTGACGTAAATGTACCTAGTTCATAATAACCACCTTGAAAACATTGTGAAAACATAAATGGTGGCCATTGCAGAAAAAGCTAAGATAATTCCTCAAATAAAAGGAACCCTGTCAGTCAGATGGGGGCTTCCAGCCTGGGTTAGAGTTGGGAGTTGAGGTGTCTAATATGTACCTGGAACAGGCAGTGACAGACACTGCGCAGCTGAGGGGGGAACTCTGTGGAGGAGTTGATGATGGCCAGGAAGAAGCGGTTGGTGATCTGCAGCAGGTTCCTCTGGTTCTCCTCCAGGATCTCACTCTGCTCCAGCCTGCAGCCGGAGACACAGAACCAGTCACAACCACAGACACAGCTGGAGACACCGAACCAGTCAGTCAAAACCAGAGACAGCAAGAGAGCATGGGACAATGCAACAGGTCAGGTAGCATACAACACTTCTTCCATGTTGCTGAAAATCTTATAATTTTCTGAGGGGCCTGAAATCAAAACAAGCAGATGATCAGTTAATTTATTAGCAGTGCTGCCTTGGTTTAAATAGTACAGCTGGAAAACAAAGTGGGTGAATGAGTAAAATAGTGTTGGTGTGGTGTCTGTGGGGTATGGTACCTGGTGGGGTCCACCTCGAAGCTGATGAGCTGCCACTCTGGGCCGGTGATGACCCCTCTGAGGAGAGGTTCTAGAAGCTTCTGCAGGTACGTGGCCCCGTACACCTGAAACACAGCAGAGGGAGGGAGGGGTGGATACAGACACGCAACAACACACTGACAATCTAAACTAGAACTCACAGAAAGCAGGCGCCATGCTTCCTGGAAAGCCTAAGACCACATAGTGTGTCATGGCCTTTGTCAGAGAGCAGGTATTTTGCATAGTTGTAAAGACCTCAACCACACTTTCATGCCTTGGTTTATCAGGACAGGACTGGGCACCCAGCCAGTCATGTTGTGTACCTTAAAGCAGAAGGTCATGATCTTGCTGGCCAGACTGTTTCCTCGGAACAGAGTCTGCATGGAGTCCGCCAGCTCCACCTCCTTGGAAAACATGTTCCACAGCAACTGGTACAGGAGGTGGCGCGAGTCAAACAGAGTCACCAGCACCCGCGCCAGCTCATCCTGACAGGGGACAGGAGGGGAGAAAATCACTGACAGAGATCACACCATTACTGACACAGCTCACACTCTGACACCCACAGTCACTAACACAACACTGACACATTCATTCATATTCACACCTATGAACAGTATGAAAACATTTGGATTAAAATGTTATTCCATTTACACCCCCAGATCTAACACCCAGGGTCAAGATGTCAGGTCACACAGAAAGGACAGGGGGTGGTGAATAGGCTACATACCCACTGGGAGCAGGGCACTACGTTGGCCAATGCCATGGCAATAGGCAGCTCTCCCTGGTCTCCCATCATGGTGACCAGCTCCACCAGCCTCTCGAAACGGTCAGCCAGCACCGTCTCTGCCAGCGTGTCAAACTCTGTCCCCTGCTGCAGGATCTTAGTCAGCACCTCCATGAAGGTGGCCCGCGTCTGCAGGTCCTTATGGTAGCCCAGACCTACACACAGAGAGAGAGGGGGGGAGATAGAGAGAAATGTATTATAAATCTTACCTAAGTGGGACAAGAGGGAAGAACATTGACCGTGCACAGGCAAGTATTGTTTTAACGACCCTACACTAATGAGGAATTAGATGTAATTAACAGAGATCCCATTAAAGCCACTTACACTGTTACTTTTCTTTCGCATGTGCAGTTAAGCACTTTAAACAGGGACACATGAAGCAGCCAACCAAAGAGCGAGCCTAAGCCTCATTCCTGATAAGTTCCTATGTTAGGTTTCCAGACTGACCGATGGAGTGCATGAGGCCACTGTCCACGTTAGCGTTGAGGAGGTTGGACATGGCCAGGACGGTGCAGTGTCGGAGGGAGGCCAGGCGTCGAGACATGCCCCTCTTCCTCCCTGCCACCTGCTGCCCATCATCCTCCACCTCACTGCAGTCATTCAGCAGGTTCATGAACAGGGTGAAGTACCTAGGACGAGGACACACACAATCACTACAAAGCTAGTGGGAGTAATGATGTGAAATGCCAGACTTTGCTTTCTGTATAACTGTGATGTACATTTCATAAGTAATAAAGTGCAATAGTAATGGAGAGGATATCTGTCGTACTTGAGGAAGAGCTGGGACTTGGCCTCCATCAGTTCCACTCCGTCTCCCTCCTCAGGCTGGAGGGGCAGGCCAGCTAGCAGGGACACCACCGCCTCCATACTGGCCTGGTCCAGGTCCCTGTAGATCACACAGTACAGGGCATAGGTCAGGGGTTAGAGATCAGAGGTCAGGGGTAGAGGTCATGGTCAGATCAGCTGTGTGAGGGGGGTACAATCCAAGCAGGGGGTGGTAGCAGTACAGTACCTGGTAAGACACTTGACGTCATCATCAGCCGCCTGGTTTGAGGTGCCCATCACCCAGTCTGTCAGGTACTCCACCATCTTATTCCTGCCAGGGATGCATGGACATTCATTTACAGTTTGTAAACTAAATGGCATGGTCTTTGTATTACTCCGTATCACTCGATATGTTGCAGTAAACCTGGACAGTACAGTACATGTTTGACAGACAGTCAAGACTCCAGGAGGACATTCTCACCTGAACTTCATCTCCTGGCAGAAGGACAGGTCGTCTCGTCTCTCCATCATCACCTCCACCAGCTGGCACAGCTTGGTCTTGATCTGAATGGCATGCACTATGTTGCCTAGGATACGCACGTACCTGCCAACACAACACAGGGCATGGGGAGGATGAGAGTGGGCAGTGGGCTCACAGCAGCTCACCAACAGTCTCATGGTCCAGGGTCGGCATAGAGGGGAGGACAGGAAGGGTGGCATTTACCTGACCAGGTTGAGCATCATGGTCTCTATGCTGGCCTGTCCCAGGTGCTCTGAGCTGCCCTCAGTGTGGTTGTCCAGTAGGTTCTTCATGATGGCAATGGTCTGCTCCACAAACTGGGTGTTAGTGTCATTGATGGGGACCTAAACAGACAGAGAAAAATATATTTTACCACACAGGCTAACAAAGAGGCTCTAACCGTCTCTATTCCTTCAGTGACTTTGGATATACAGGTACAACCCTTTTCAGAAGCAAGAGTGCTCACACCAATGTGATTATACTATGACAAACAGATAACGGATGAGGTTTACTCAGCGTGCGTGTGTATGTGTTTGTGTGTGTTCTCTCACCGGCCCCTGTGCGTCGAAGAAGCGGCTGATGCTGTTCTTGAGTTTGTTGAAGAGCATAGGGTAGAGAGCTGGGCTGAGCTCCAGGCCCACCAGGTCCTTAACATTAGTCCGGATCTGAACACCCTTCTCATGGCTGCACACCATGAGGGACAGCAGGCGGTCCAGGAAGCGGCCCAGGGGCGTCTCAGTGTTCCCCTCACAGGAGCCCATGGAGATCATGGAGCTCTTCCTCTCACTGAGAGGCCCCATGGGGGGGCTGTAGGTGGCCAGGCCTGGGACACTGCGCTGCTGCAGACACACACCTCCCAGAGCACACAGGAAACCAGTCATGTTGATCCACTCCTGGACACAGAAGCAGAGAGAGAGGACCAATGAGAGAAGGCAACAGAGAGACAACATCAATCCACAACCAAATAATTTGTGAAGTGTATTTTGATGTGCATAACTAGAATGCATAACAACAAGCTACTGGGTGTCTGCTTGCCTGGCCATCCTCTAGCTTAGTTTTGGGATGGGTGAGGATTAATTTGGTTGCCTGCTCCCATTTTGCATGCGTGTCTTCCCATGCCTGTGGGGAAGATAGTAAAACAAATGCTGAGTTGATATGAATATCGTGCTTCACAAACATCCTTCCATTATTGAACCATCAGGGTATGACTAGAAGCACAGCAGCAGGCCACTCTTTCACCTCTTTGTTTCCTGCAGTAGGGTGTTCTATCCTCCTCAACAGAGCCATCACTCTCTTCTGCAGGGCTGAGCGGCCTGAAAACACACAAACACACTATGACAGGAGCCTTCACCTCTCTGACAGCCCCAGCACACACACTCACCGCTACTGTCTATTATCTATCCAGTTGCCTGGTCACTTTACCCCTACCTATATGTACATAGCTACTTCAATTACCTCGTACCCCTGCACTTCAACTCGGTACTGGTACTTCCTGTATATAGCCATGTTATTTTGACCCGTTATTCACTGTGTATTTATTCCTTTTTATTTTATCTTTAACTCTGCATTGTTGGAAAAGGAACATTATTTCACTGTGACAAATATCATTTGATTTGAGCTTCTGAGTTCTCATGCTGGGACTGCCCTCTATAGCAGTGGAGGCTCCTCAGAGGAAGGACCATCCTCCTCAGTGAATTTCAGACAAATTAAAATAGTGAAACATTACAAAGGTTATCCTTTTTAGATAAAACTACACTAAATATATTCATTTCACCAAATAATTTATTAAAACACACTATTTTGCAATAAGGGTCTACAGTATCCTCAACAGCACTCTGTAGGGTAGCACCATGGTGTAAACAGAGGGCAGCTAGTTTCCGTCCTCCTCTGGGTACATTGACTTCAATACAAAACCTAGGAGGCTCATGGTTCTCACCCCCTTCCATAGACTTACAGAGTAAGTCGTCCTCCAACCTATCAGAGCTCTTGCAGCCTGAACTGACATGTTGTCCAACCAATCAAAGGATCAGAGAATAAAATCTAGTACTACAGCAAGCTAGCACTGCAGTGCATAAAATGTGTTGAGTAGTTGACTCAAAGAGAAAGACAATAGTTGAACAGTTTTGAAGACATTTCTTCAAAAATGAAGGAGACATGAGAGAGAGAGAGCTAGCTATATTTCGTTGTATTTTTTTGACTTTCACTTACTTAGCTAGCTAGTTTAGCCTACTCAAACATCCGGCTCAAACAGAGAGGGTTGCTATGTTAGCAAGCTGGCTATGGCTATCCAACACTAGAACTCTTCCAAGTCAGCTTTTGGTTTTATTAATTTATTGCCACCGGGGCCCGCCGGTGTAACTGCTAAACTGCTTGTACACTGTACTGCATGATTGTAGCAGGTTTACTAACGTGTTAGTTCTAGTAGCTATGTTGACTATGACCTTAGCTAATATGGTGGCAACGATGTAGGCTGCAGCTAGCGGTTACCATATGAAGGTTTGGCTTGGAAAAGTTTTTCTGCCTGGTCACACACAGCTGATGTGTTGTGCACTGAGGTCCACAAGTGAAGTGAAAAGGTGAGAGGAGGAGAGCGCGTAGATGCGAGAAGGAACTATACAAAGCAGCAGATCATTATGTTTGTATGTGGCTGCTATGAAAGTAAACTGTGTTTGCGTGTATTCATTCCACCCATCTGTTGAAAAACATTTATTAAACGGAAGCAAACGGAACTAAAACGGGGATAAACATACCTGAATTTGTCCAATAGAAACTTTTGTTTGCAACTGTTGGATGATTACACCCTAGATCAGCTAGATGCAGGCAAGAATGTGCGAGGCGGTATTGAACGTGTCACTGTGTTTTACCTTGATTACTTACGTTTTTCTCTCGACCTGTGCACCTACATTGTAAACTTTAATTCATAGGCTAGGTTGTAACAACCTCATGATGGGTATAGGGAAAATTGTAGTATCATGTAGCAGCCTAAACCTATCAATGTTACATTGACCTGGGTGAATGGAATATAAATGACAGTCATCCAATATGCTGTAATAGAAATAAGGACATGCTCATAAAAATAAAATAATCGTCCTCCCTCCTCTTAAACAGCACAGACCGCCACTGCACTAGAGGTGGTACTCTATACACCATAAGGTACAGCACCATAATTTACATTTCTCCCCCAGGTCCCTCTTGATTATTGAACTGACCCAGATGAAGAATGTTTAGGAGGTCATTAGCGCGTGCGTTCACTACTAACCTGTGGACATCATGTTGCTGACGGAGGCAAACTCGATGAAGGTGTTGTAGTTGGGCAGGATGGTCTGCACCGGGACCTCGTCCATGCCACAGCGGACCTCAGCCTCCTCACACAGGTGTCTGAAGCAGGACATGGCCACCAGAACGGCCTCCATGTCAGGGCTCCACAGGAACATGTAGAGACACACCTCCAGCTTGGTCTGGGCCTGTCTGCAGATGGGGATGCCACTGCCCACTATGGCCTGCTCCTGGGGGAGGAAGATAGGACAGAGGGGTTAGAACAATGGAGATCTAGAGAAGGTCACATTCAGGAGGGTGTTCAGAATGTATATATACAGTGAGGGAAAAAAGTATTTGATCCCCTGCTGATTTTGTACGTTTGCCCACTGACAAAGACATGATCAGTCTATAATTTTAATGGTAGGTTTATTTGAACAGTTAGAGACAGAATAACAACAAAAAAATACAGAAAAATGCATGTCAAAAATGTTATAAATTGATTTGCATTTTAATGGAGGGAAATAAGTATTTGACCCCTCTGCAAAACATGACTTAGTACTTGGTGGCAAAACCCTTGTTGGCAATCACAGAGGTCAGACATTTCTTGTAGTTGGCCACCAGGTTTGCACACATCTCAGAAGGGATTCTGTTCCACTCCTCTTTGCAGATCTTCTCCAAGTCATTAAGGTTTCGAGGCTGACGTTTGCAACTCGAACCTTCAGCTCCCTCCACAGATTTTCTATGGGATTAAGGTCTGGAGACTGGCTTGGCCACTCCAGGACCTTAATGTGCTTCTTCTTGAGCCACTCCTTTGTTGCCTTGGCCGTGTGTTTTGGGTCATTGTCATGCTGGAATACCCATTCACGACCCATTTTCAATGCCCTGGCTGAGGGAAGGAGGTTCTCATCCAAGATTTGTTGGTACATGGCCCCGTCCATCGTCCCTTTGATGCGGTGAAGTTGTCCTGTCCCCTTAGCAGAAAAACACCCCCAAAGCATAATGTTTCCACCTCTATGTTTGACGGTGGGGATGGTGTTCTTGGGGTCATAGGCAACATTGCTCCTCCTCCAAACACGGCGAGTTGAGTTGATGCCAAAGAGCTCGATTTTGGTCTCATCTGACCACAACACTTTCACCCAGTTCTCCTCTGAATCATTCAGATGTTCATTGGCAAACTTCAGACGGCCCTGTATATGTGCTTTCTTGAGCAGGGGGACCTTGGGGGCACTGCAGGATTTCAGTCCTTCACGACGTAGTGTGTTACCAATTGTTTTCTTGGTGACTATGGTCCCAGCTGCATTGAGATCATTGACAAGATCCTCCCGTGTAGTTCTGGGCTGATTCCTCACCGTTCTCATGATCATTGCAACTCCACAAGGTGAAAAGTTGCATGGAGCCCCAGGCCGAGGGAGATTGACAGTGCTTTTGTGTTTCTTCCATTTGCGAATAATCGCACCAACTGTTGTCACCTTCTCACCAAGCTGCTTGGCGATGGTCTTGTAGCCCATTCCAGCCTTGTGTAGGTCTACAATATTGTCCCTGACATCCTTGGAGAGCTCTTTGGTCTTGGCCATGGTGGAGAGTTTGGAATCTGATTGATTGATTGCTTCTGTGGACAGGTGTCTTTTATACAGGTAACAAACTGAGATTAGGAGCACTCCCTTTAAGAGTGTGCTCCTAATCTCAGCTCGTTACCTGTATAAAAGACACCTGGGAGCCAGTAATCTTTCTGATTGAGAGGGGGTCAAATACTTATTTCCCTCATTAAAATGTAAATCAATTTATAACATTTTTGACATGCGTTTTTCTGGATTTTTTTGTTGTTATTCTGTCTCTCACTGTTCAAATAAACCTACCATTAAAATTATAGACTGATCATTTCTTTGTCAGTGGGCAAACGTACAAAATCAGCAGGGGATCAAATACTTTTTTCCCCTCACTGTAAATGTCATGCATAGAGCTGCCATTTTTCTTTACTCTGCATGACAGAAGTATATATCCATTATACAAAAAAATATTTCTGAACATGATATAATGTTGTGTCTTCCTGGATGAGACACACAGGGACTACATAACACACCGTAACCTACCTTGTTCCTGAGGAGGAACTTGTTCCTGCATATGAGGATCTCCCTCAGCCACTTGAGGATCTCTGTGCTATTGATCATCTGGTGGCCAACCAGCTTCTTACAGATGAAGAAGAGGACCTGGGAACTGCAGGGAACAACAGCCAATCACAGTCAAACTGGGTGATCTCCATTTGTGCTAACCAATCAGCATCAATGAACACTCAATTTCACCTGGCATCTAATGTAGAGGACCATGCATAAGCAAAGGTGTTTTTTTTTTAAATGGGGCGTTTAGGCTACCTGATGTCCCAGAAGGTCTCAATGGGAGCATCTGGGTTCCACAGCTCTATGGTCTCAGGTTGATGCAGGACCAAGAGGGCCTACAAAAGGAAGAGAACAGGAGGAGTATCTATTAACCACTGTGTGCAAATGTAACCATAATGGAGAAAAAGGGAGAGAGAGAGAGACAGAAAAAAGAGAGAGATTGGGCTCACCTCCATGGCCTCCTGTGAACACTCTCCCATGTTGGCCAGAGGCACCAGCTGCACCAGACCGGTGATCAGCTCTGCTGTACTGCTCTGGATCTCCTGACCCTGCTTACCCGGATTCTGACACACACACACACACACACAAAGTAAACAAACACATGTACACGACCACACAGCCATGTACAAACATGCCAAGAGTGGCTTTTCCGGACCAGTCTGCCGAAAAGTCTTTGCAAATCCCAAACCAGCTTAAGACTTTCTAATCAGTCTCCAACCAAACACTTGGCTAATTTGTCTAAATCTAACCCTGCAAGTGGAATTAACCACGATGATCCCTTAACCCAACACAACAAATGTAGAATTAAAAGGATAACTACTGTGTTACACAGACCATCCTCAAACAGCAAAACACACATTCTTTCTGGCCAGGAGAGCTAAAGTAAACAGAGTAAACACTAACATGCAGCATGAGTTTGGGGTCAGCGTGAATGAGCTTGACCAGGGCCAGCAGGAGGCTCCGAGTGTCCAGGTCTGTGGTCTTCTCCTTGAACTTCAGACTGGTCATCTTCTCCTTGAAGGTCAGACTCTGAAGGAAACAAACGGTAGAGACTGCCGTTAGTAAAAAAGAGGGAGGGTAAGGAAAACGTGGAAAGATAAACTAGAGGAGACGGAGAGAGAGACAGATGCAGAGTATCTCTCCTGCAATCAGACAAACAAGTTCCCACCCTCTGAGCAGAGACCCACAGCACAGGGATCAGGAGAGCCACCAGGAGAGAAAGGATCAGGGGTCAAAGATAGAGAAAGAGAGACTGTTTCATGAGGGCCCTTCATGGGTAGACCATGAAACAGGAGGTGGGCAACCAGACTGACAGACAAACAGACAGGAGCATGGGGCCATGCCTAATCCATCATGGGCTGGCCACCATGAGGGAGTCAGGCCCACACACAAACACACAACACCAGGACACGACACACACAGATAATGGATGAGGAAATAATAACCAACTCTAGTGGAGTTTGAAGGAAATATTCAACTATGCACCAACACAATCTACAGGCCTCCCATTCCTTCACAGGTGATGAGAACCCAACGAAGTATCCATCCACAGAACCTAGTTTGAAGGTATGTCAACACTGTGATCATATTGAGATACTCAATTTAGAAGTTAAAATAAAGGAGATTAACAATCCAAAGACTGAGCGAGTGTGCAAGTGGACGACCCAGCCTCAACAGGCTGAGAAGCATGCCCCAGGAGTTAGCCTAGCAGACAGATGAGATGGAGTGGAGGGAGGAATCGGAGGCAGGCTCACTTCAACCAGAGCACGGAGGTGGTGGAGGACGACAGGGACTCTCTCTTATCTGTGGTAGCCTGAGGGTGAGGTCAGGGGTTAGAGGTCAGGGGTCAGCTGCAGAAGGTTCAGGAGGAGGAGGCTTGGGGAGTGGAAGGGGTGGCAGTTATACTTACAGCGACAGATGCCCACTGCAATGCAAAACAGTGACTGTGACAGGTTGGCATCTGAGTGAGTGAGCAGCAGCCAGTTCAAAATGAAGAAGGGGAAAAAAGGAAAGAACGGAGCAAAAGGAAAAGAGTGAGTGATGTCAGAGAGCTCCCTCTGCAGTCCTCCACCTCCACGAGATGACTGAACCAAACACACTGATGACAGCGAGATGACACACCCATACACTCACGCAGTCATACAAAAGGACAGGGAAGTGAGGGGTTATGAAAGAGTTATCAGAAATGTTCTCCTGCAAGTGGACAGGAGGATTTGTCTCCGGTTGCTGTGAATCTCCTGTTCTCCTCTGTAAAACCATACACAGCCACTGCAGTCTGACATTCAATAACATCTCAGCTCATCCCAGCAATACTGGGGTTTGTAGAGTATGTTTTTGTTTCCAAGAGTGTGTGTTGAGTTGTGTGTGTGGTCAGTCCGCCCACAGACGGCGAGGGTGTTTTGCTGTGTGCGTGTCTTACCGGAGTCATGCGGAGGGGAGCGTGTGTACTGCAGCCTCTCATCACGTGGCCCAGTGTCTCAGAAAACATGATCCTCAGCTCTCCTGAGTAGCAGTACACAGTGTCAATCTTAGGCCACCAGTCCAATGGAGACTGCAACAGAGGAATGGACCAAGGGTTAAACTCAATCCTTTAGGTTGATTATGGTGGGTGCTTACAGTGTTATCCAAATCAAAACTTTCTCAGATAACACGGGGCCTTCAGCCGTGTAGGATTTGTTGGGGTGGAGATGGACTTCTCCAGTTTGCCTGGAGGGGAAGAACGATGGCAGCTGTCCTCTCCTACTCTATTTGTTACCCACCCACCCAGACAGACAGACACACACAGGAACAAAAGCAGCCTCTAACTTCTGCTCACAGACAGGAAGTGCTTTGGGTAAGGGGGGCGAGAGAGAGACCGGTAATACTCTCACTCCATCTCTCCTACACACACAGACACACACAGTCTCTCAGGCACATGGAGAGCTAATAAAAGGGTCTCTGTATGAAATCTGCCCTCAGGCACTTCCCATTGAAACACACACACACCACATAAGTGTCTGCAGCTCTTCCTCTCCCTGCATGGCTCAGCCAGAGTGAGATGGTAGTCCATCTAATGCCTGTATAATAAAGCCCAGTGTGTCTACAGTATGTGAGCCATTCCTACAGTAGTGACATCATATACACCGAGTCACCACAGATAAGGTTACCACTGGTCATTGTAGACGTGCACTGTGTGCCCACAGCATTGGTCAGTTTTATATACTTTGGATGGTGGCACTGGACATTGGTATTGGGTGTGTTGATTGATCCCTTAACTCGAAGTTGGGCAATGACACCACACACTTACATTAGTGATGATTCTGTGTAGGGAGTTGACCAGGACAAAGTGAAAGGTGGGAGGGGAGGATGATGCCAGGCAGACCTACAGTGGGAGAGCCAAATAAATAGAGAGACGTTGAACAGAGATCACACAGTCCTTACTTCAACACACCAGTACGTGCTTAACATCAGTTAATGATAAATGTGTATCAACATAAACATTTCTATGCAATACTATACTCCAGAGGTCCACAGGAGTCCCAGACCTTAAAGTGATGGTTGTTATGTGGATTGATGCGGAAACAGGAGACAAAGCAGTCGATCATGAGGTCCACGTCTGCGTTCTGACTTCCCGCCCCTCTGGAGAAAGGCTTGGCTGGGTTGAAGAGCAGGGCCTGACAGGAGAAGGGAGAGACAAGGTAGATAGCATCAGCTGTGACTGGTTATCACTGGTGACTAATACTGTATACTATGATTATAATACTGTCCCATAACAGTGATAATCAGAGGACCATCTGTGGCTGGTGCTCACCTTGAGGTCCACTACGATGGACTGCACCAGGAGGAAGATGACAGAGTGGTCCTCCCAGTTGATGTAGGTGGAGGCCTTGCAGAGTTTGACACAGGCGATGGCAGCACTCTCAGTCAGCTGTTTACTGCCCCCATGGCCAGCCAGAGCCTTCCTCAGGTTATCCAGGAACAGTTTCTGTTAGGCAGACAGAAGAGTACTGTATGAGAGGAGAGGAAGACATGGCTGATTAAAACACTGGTGTCTGTGTTGTGTCTGACCTTGTTGACCTTGGTGTCCTCCACGGTCTCTCTGGAGAGTTCCTGTGTGATGTTGGGACAGAGGATGAGGAGGATGATCTGCAGGGGCCACACGGCTGCCTTCCTCTTGGCGCTCTCAGCAAAACTGTCCACCAGGTCAAACAGCTTCTCTGCACAGTCTGGGAGAGACACGGCCAAGCAACAACACAGTCAATAACACAGACATAGGATGAATCTCTGATTGTAACATTAGAACTGTAACAGCATCCTCACCAGACATGTCTGTCTGTGGCCTCTGGTATAGCATGGTGAACTCATCAGGGTAGTTCTCCACCCAGTTCCAGAAGGCCTGAGGGGGGAGAGAAGGGGGTTACATCAACTGCCTGGAAAGCACTGTCCTTATCCTCAACTCACAGAGAAGATTATTGACAACACACCAACTTGCAAGAATGTTTCCCTATCCTCAGCCAACTGAACTATTCAGATACTAATGTCACGCTCTGATTAGGAGAGATAAAAACTGTTTAAATGTAAAACTTCATAAAACAGTTAGTGTGTTTACTCGTCCTCTCAGTGGAGCCACACTTCAGCTTCATGACTGGGGCTTCTGGTTAGCCAGAGACAGTTAGAGTAAACACTAGTGTCCTGACTGCACTGAAGTGTATCCAGATGCCTGAGCAGCTCCACGTGAACTCAACAGACACTACAGTAGAGCAGGAGGAGAAGGGCAACAAGAGGAGAGAGGAGGAGAGACACCACTAGGTGGAGACAGTGAGTCTATAGACAGACATTGCAGAGAGAGAGAGCGACACAGAGAGCGAGACAGAGACAGAGACAGACAGCGAAAGCGACAGAGACAGAGAGACATAGACCAACGGACAGACAGAGAGCGAGAGAGACAGTGAGAGACTCACCTTCTCTAAACTGTTGATGACACTTAGCTGGGCAGGCTTCTTGAGGGCTTTGAATTTAAACACAGTCTCTGCAGAAGGAGATGACAACCAATAGGAAGTAGCTCTATCAAAATGTGACGTCTGTTGTCCTAAATAAAGCAACGTGACTGATAAGAATAGGTGTATACCTTGGAGCAGTTTCTTCAGCTTGGCACAGTCCACATTAATGTACTGGATGAGCTCAATGTCATGGACGTCCACTGTGTCCTCCGTACACACGGTGAGCTCCTGCAACCTGAGGGGAAACACAGCAAAGATTTATTAAAGATGATCCTTTTCATCTCATCAAATATTCACACTCAATAGCATCACATCATCACTACAAAGCTGTAGATAAGTAGCATTAGAGTATCATCATACATATACTAATCATCATCATACATACATACATACATACATACATAGATACATACATACATACACTAGCCTATGGTGAAAACCAAACCCAATGGGAAATTGAATAATTAAAATCAGGTGGTTCGGTGAGTAAGACTACTAAAGCCTCAAAGAACCAGGGTTAAGTAGCAAATGATGGGTCATATAGTGCTTTGCCTTTGCGTGGTACTAACTGACATCAAATAGTTTGGATGACAGGGCAATGCTTTTAAGGTAAAAGCTCTGAAGAGCGAAAGGTGACACTTGGGAGTGGTTGAGGTCAACATTCTTTCCCTGTCCTAACATCACATAACATAACCTCATCCTCAGTCCTCATGTTTTAATAAACTGCTACTTCATCAGTCTGAGGCCTGCAAGTCATGGACCAATCAGACCACAGCACAGCTGGGTTAACAAGTGCAGACTGCGACTCACAGACACGATAGATACACGAGCGGAGCAGCACTCTTCTCTTCTGCCTCAGAACCAAATAGTACACCAGTGCAAGGAGAAGGGAGACAAAAGCTGTGCTTTTCTAAACTTCCACAAATAATTCATAAACCCTAGTGGTTAATGGTTAAACCAGATGTTTTCTCCCACATGCACGTCTTGTTCAGGCCCAGTGCCCAGATTCACAAAACCTTCTTAAGAAGACATTTCTTCTTAACTGCCCTTTTCCCCGTAACTATAGACTTAAGACGAAAATTAAGCAAAGTTGCTATTCCTCAAAAAGGTTATTGGAAATGTTTTACGCTATTTCTTATGTTTCTCCTTAAGCAAAAAGTTAAGAAGAAATCAGATTCTTGAAAATAAAGTTATTGGAAATGTTCTTCATTTCAAGATAGCTAAACCCTTGTCTTAAACTCAGGGCAGTGAGAGTAAAAGCAATTGAAAGCAATTGAACACATTTAATTCACTCACAAACTTAATCTGAAAGTTTCAGTATTGATTATTTTAAACCAAAGAACATGTTTTAGAACTGTAATCTCAGGGTGTGTTTGTAAATAAATTCTGGAGTGCCAGATAGCACTCAGAGTGTGCTCTGGGCGTTCGTAAATTCAGAGCGTTATCAGATTGCCCGTTCATAAATTCAGAGTGTTTCGCTCTCGGAGCGTTCAGAGCGCACACTGGACGCTCTGGCCGAGGGTTGATCCGAGCGTTCTGACCTCACAACGGCAGTCAAGTACCCAAGCTAACTGGCTAACGTTGGCTAGCTTGCTAGCTACTTCCAGACACAAATGTAAGAACACCTCACTCTAACCATTTTACTTTACTCACCCTAGCAGAGCTGATTAGGCTGTTTTCATGTTATCCAGAGCGTTGGTAACTGTGCTGCTGGCAACAATTTAATTATGCTTTTTTGCCTACGTTTACTGACACCGGCCATATTCAATGGGTGTTGAGCGTTCGTAAATTCGAGAGTGCTCTGAAATCGGAGTAGATAGCCAGAGTGAATTTACGAACGCACCCATATGAATTCCTAAGAACATTTTGAGGAACTGCACTTACGAACTATCTTATGAACGTTACGTTTTTTCGTTAGTAGTGTTTTGTGAATCCGGCCCAAGGTCCTTATTGGGCATGGTGCTCACGGTGGAACATTACTCCATCAGACCCAGACAAAGACACTCTTTATGAAGGCTGCTGACAGAGACTCCCTTTATTCATCTCCCCTACATTTACTCTATCTATCTTAGGTGGGTGATAGCTCGATCTTCTCTCTTCCCCCTCGCTCTCATCAATCTACACACAATACCCCATAATGACAAAGTGAAAACAGGTTTTTAGAAATTTTAGCAAATGTATTCTAAATACAAAACAGAAATACCTTATTTACATAGGTATTCAGACCCTTTGCTATGAGACTCGAAATTGAGCTCAGGTGTATCATGTTTCCATTGATCATCCTTGAGACATTTCTACAACTTGATTAGAGTCCACCTGTAAATTCAATTGATTGGACATGATTTGGAAAGGCACACACCTGTCTATATAAAGGTCCCACAGTTGACAGTGCATGTCAGAGCAAAAACCAAGCCATGAGGTTAAAGGAATTGTCCGTAAAGCTCCGAGACATGATTGTGTTGAGGCACAGACCTGGGGTAGGGTCCCAAAACATTTCTGCAGCATTGGAAGTTTGGAACCACCAAGACTCTTCTTAGAGCTGGCTGCCCGGCCAAACTGAGCAATCGGGGGAGAAGGGCCTTGGTCAGGGAGGTGACCAAGAACCCGATGGTCATTCTGACAGAGCTCCAGAGTTCCTCTGTGGAGATGGGAGAACCTTCCAGAAGGACAACCATCTCTGCAGCACTCCACCAATCAGGCCTTTATGGCAGAGTGGCCAGACGGAAGCCACTCCTCAGTAAAAGGCACATGACAGCCCGATTGGAGTTTGCCAAAAGGCACCTAAAGGACTCTCAGACCATGAGAAACAAGATTATCTGGTCTGATGTAACCAAGATTGAACTCTTTGGCCTGAATGCCAAGCGTCACGTCTGGAGGAAACCTGGCACCATCCCTACGGTGAAGCATGGTGGTGGCAGCATCATGCTGTGGGGATGTTTTTCAGTGGCAGGGACAGGGAGAATAGTCAGGGTCAAGGGATAGATGAACGGAGCAAAGTACAGAGAGATCCTTGATGAAAACCTGCTCCAGAGCGCTCAGGACCTCAGACTGGGGTGAAGGTTCACCTTCCAACAGGACAACGACCCTAAGCACACAGCCAAGACAACGCAGAAGTGGCTTCGGGAAAAGTCTCTGAATGTGGCCCAGCCAGAGACCCGAACTGAACCTGAAAATAGCTGTGCAGCAACGCTCCCATCCAACCTGACAGCTTGAGAGGAGAAGAATGGGAGAAACTCCCCAAATACAGGTGTACCAAGCTTGTAGCGTCATACCCAAGAAGACTTAAGGCTGTAATCGCTGCCAAAGGTGCTTCAACAAAGTACTGAGTAAAGGGTCTGAGAATACTTATGTTAATGTGATATTTTAGTTTTTTGTTGTTGTTTCTTTTACAAAAAAAATCTGAAAACCATTATGGGGTATTTTGTGTAGATTGATAAGGAAAAAAACAATTTAATCCATTTTGGAATAAGGCTGTAACGTAACAAAATGAGTAAAAAGTCAAGGGGTCTTAATACTTTCCAAATGCACTGTACATTTAGTAACCCATCCTCTATGTGCATCCTTAGTCCTTCCATCTTGGCCTGTCCCTGCTCAGAGCAGGTTGGGCTGAGGGGAGAGTTGTGTAGTGTTAATATTCCATTCTGAGCAGGTTGGGGTGAGGGGAGAGTTGTGGGGTGTTTATGGTTAATGTCACCTGGTGGAGATGCGGCTGAACACAGCGTTGAAGTTGTTGCAGCTGAGGGAGAAGAGGACCCCGGAGGCGGAGTTACGGAGCTCGGCGGCGTGCTGGTGGCCCTCGCGGTACGTGTGGATGAAGTGACAGATCTCTGGCAGCAGCTGCTTCACCAGCATGGTCTCGTCCAGACGCATGCAGTCCTTCGGTTGCTGAGGGATGGAGGGAAGGGAGAAGAGAGGAGGAAGGAAAGGTTAGAGGTCAACAAGAAGAAAACCTTTCATCAATGTCCTCACTGCCCTCTTAACCCAGAGGAGAGAACCCACTGATAGCTGGGGATGAGGCCCAAAACCATCCCACAAGGAGAATGGTCAGTCAGGCTCCAGTCACAAGGCTGGCATCCCTGAACAACACACCATGGACAAAGCCGAGCTGAGCACCACAAGAGCAGAGAGAGAGCTCTGCATAAATATTAAGTGTTTTCTCAAACGCCTACATTTTCCACTTCATAAATGAACTAGGATTATTTTCATTGAAACGTTTCAATTCCATAGTCAGAAGAGTCTGTATAGCCTTCTCCTGCTAGAATGAACGATATACAGTACATCTTCTAGTAATCTATTGAAAGAACAGGCGCCTGTCAGTCACAAGGTGAGTGATGACAGGGAAACTGCTGGTTTGTCAGTCTGCTGTCTGTCCTGCCTCTCGGTACCCGTGTTATTTTTGTGCGCTGTGGTTGGCTGCAGTCAAATGTATTTTCACGGAGCAGGGAGAGCATGATGCTTCTTCATCGTCCCTGTGAGTGAATTTACATGTCCCATGTAATGTAAGTGGTAACAATTAGTTGAAATCCACTTAATTATTGTTTTGTGGCACATTCATTTAATTTATTTTGCGTGTTTCATATAGCCAGCCAAGGAGTCAGGGCGCATAGGCTATTTACTGTGCTTTAATTGACGACCGAAAAGTGTTTAACAGCAGACTACTTTATAAAAGGTGTCGAACTGAATGAATAAAGTCAATCTCCTATATCCCTTTGCTATTCATAAATCATACAACATAGTTAAATGTCCATGGTATCACATCGGGACAAGTCAACAAAATATCTTGTTTGTATTTTCCTAGGATTCTAAGTCCATGTCGAGACTTGCAAGTGACCGCTAAAGTGACTCGTCAGTGTAGCCTAGTGATGGGTTGTTAGCAAACAAACAGCTATTTTTGAACAGATCTTTTAAGTGAACGTCGGGACCGAGTTGGTGAGAGAGCTGTTCATTTGGCTCCCTAATCTACATACTGGTAGGCTACTACTGCTTTTTGGCGATTATTTGCAGATAAATTATGAAAACATTTGTTGAATATGTTGAATCCTCACTGCAGGAACAATAAGTATTGGAGAGAGAGCCTCATTCTGGTCCAAAATACTGCTGATGCCTTCTGTGTAGCAAAGCCCATGTTTAACCTGCTTCATTCTTCAAGCATACCTGTAGGTCTATAATGGGCCCCTGACTTTGTATAAAAATGGGGGTGCACAATCTGTGGGCTTTTTTTAAAATCCTGCAATTCTGTATTGTTTCTCAACAAGGAATCCATGTTTACTTTACAGAACATAACCTTTTTTCTTAGGTTTTTGCCACAATAAATTGAAAGAGTAGACTACACTAGTTTTTCTGACTAATCTACTGCCTTCCCTCAAAGTCCACCCACAGTGATTGATTGACAGGTTTGAACCCCTACCAACTATGTGACTCACAAGCAACCTGCTCCCTCCCCTGACAATCCCACCCACAGTGATTGATTGACAGGCCAAACTGTTAAAGGGATAGTTCACCCAAATTAGTGTCCACAGTCACAGAGCCAATAAAATACATAATTTTGAAGAACAAACATAATTGTGGCAATTCATATCTTGCAGTAAAACTGCAATTATATATTTAATCTCAAGAGAAGACAGGTTTAATGTTAAATAAGGTTATCTTATTAGGGCCGGGGCGATACCAGTATCGCGATACTCGTTAGTATCATGGCAAGGAAACAAAACAAGAAGCGGATTTCACTTCTTTAGGAAAACAGCCCCAATGTTGGAAACAAAAATCATTATGTTGTCATCCATGGTCACATTTATTTATTTTCCAAGCTATAGCACACAATATTTTGCATACAGCAGGTTTTTAAAGGACCAGATCGTCACAGCCCTAGAACATATAGGCCTAGACCATATCCAAAACAACTTACAACACACTGAATTCATATATTTTCAGTCATTTTAATTGTAAAGTCATGTATTTCTACTTAATACCACAACTCATTTTCCCAATCTAGGAGGTAAAGTCGTTAAAGTAGTCAATAATTTAGCTGTGTATTTCGGATAGAATCAAGGCATTAGAATGTAGGCCACCAAAATAAGAGTTTGTTCTGCATTTTTCCCCCTGGGATCTGTCATTACCCCAGCACACCGTGGGAAGACTGGGGACAGAGGGTTCTACTTGGGGACAGTAGTGGTGGATCATTAAGTAAAATATTTCCTTGAAAATATAAGGATTTTCTAATTACTAGTAAGGGTTTAATATGTCATTATTTTAAATTGACTGTCAGTGACATGGGCAACTGAAAGAGGAAAGCCGTATATTGAATTAATTTAAAAGAACACTAATATATAGGGCTGGCACAATTTCCGTATAAATGGTGTAACTGACGATTATGAATGAATACCTTCATTTAAAGAAAACTGCCATAACTGTAAAAAAGTATATAATCAACAAACAGCTGACTGAAGACGGGACGGCCTGGTATGAGTTAGTTTCCGCGGTAACATGGACTCTTTACAACGTGATGAAATTTGGTTGCTCCTTGCTGAAACAAGCAAGGTGTTGTATAAAATAAGTATTTGGTTGCCTAGGCAGCGCCCTCCTCCCTGCACAGCAGCACATGCAGTCAGGAGCGGAGGAGTGTAGAAAATGTGCTTTAACAAAATACTAATCTTTTGCTATTCAAACTATTAAAACGATGACCGCGGTCATTTGGCTGACCAATATCCGTCAACCAAAATTCCATGACCGTCACAGCCCTATGTGTCAATAACCTATCAACAAAGCAAAAATAGTTATTAAAAAGCGTTCAGATTTCAATAACAAGGAGGACTTGAAGAACCCACTAACAGCTGTCCTCCATCCGCTAGCTCCCGGTGATAAAAAGAGCCAGAAACTTGGAGGCTGCGAATGTGAAGTCAAGATGAGGATGCACCTGGAAAAGCAATCTTCAGAAGTGGGCAGTGAGCACATCTTTACTGAGGAGAGGAGAGGAGGGAGAGGAACCAGGGGAATATTGGCTACTAACAGAGTTCCCTGAGCCTGAGAGAGAGAGACAGGACTCAAACACACAGTTAATTTGTGTGGGGAGGGGAACGGGCCCAGATCCAGAGCAAAGGCCTCTGGCCCAACTGAGACAAACAATCTCAACCACAGACAGCCCACCACATCCTATTGTGCTATGCTGATATCCAATGGAAATCTACTGATAAAAAAAACATAATACTGTCTTAGGACAGCATGCAGGGAGAAAGGGAAACAAATCAGGAAAGAGACATAGGGAGGAAAGAAGGATGAAGGGAGAGAGAGAGAGACTGAGAAATAAAAGCGACATGCATCCATTATTTAAAAAATATATATTAAGGGGAATGTCTAAGAGAAAAAAGAAAACAGGGTAGAAGATGTAGAGAGCCTTAAGAAAAGTTCCTCACCCCAGCAAGGCACTTCTCCAGTGTGTCCAGGATGATGAGCTGAGAGAGATACAGGTTCTTCTCCGCAGCCTCCCCAAATATTCGCTAGGGGAGAGAGAGGAGAGGGAGACATGGTTGAGACATCTGCAACACTGTACATGTCTCTATAGGCTACAACTGATGTTGCTTGCACACACACACACACACACACACACACACCCACCCACCATGTTGTTCACATTCTTCAGTATGTTTGTGAGGCCACTGATCACCAGTGAGAACTTATACTTGGAGATGTTGATCAGACATTCCTTGTTGTGCTCCGTGCTGACTTTGGTGTGAGTGTTCTGTTGGCCCACTTTAACTGGAAGCTGCAGAGGCGGGAAAAGGGAGAGAGTTTGCTTATACAGTGTGTAAATCCTTGATGTTGGTGCATTCATTGAAGTTGGTAACTTCGCTTTGCGTCCAATACACATAACCTTAACGTTAACCCTAACCATACTGTCAAGAGCATGGAGTACAGGAATAGCCAAGTGTTGTGTATACCATTTCCTGTCAATAAGTTCATCAGAGTGCGGCTACATGCACACAACAATACGATTATTGTGGATAGTCAGATTAATATAATAGTTTGTTTAATATGTTTACATGCCTTGCAAGAAGAATGATTTCCCTAATAATCCTGTCTACATGGACATCTGAAACCAGGCTACCTGATGGCACTTAAATAAATGCCAAAAATCGCCAATCAAAATAAACATTCTACAACAGAGACCATGTTATTTTTGCAAAGCCTATTTGATTCTGAGTTCGGACATATAAAGTTTGTATGTGAAAAATATTTCAAAGATGCATACTTTCAGTTTTTCCGAACTCACTTCACTCGCGCATACGCCTCGATCACACCGACAGCATCATTGCATTTTGGTACACCAGAAGTACATTCATTTCCAATGGGCCGCTGCGTTTGCCTTGCTGCATTGCGTTGCAGAGGCAGTTGCATAACGTTCTGTGTGGTGTATAGTTGGATTTACCGAACGTATGCAACAAATTGTATACGTAGAGGGCTTGACAGAAATGGTAGCAGAAGGTGAATGTTGTACTTTTGTTGCACACATATCCAGATGATGCTACATACCATTTTGCGCAATGACGCTGTAGGTGTGATCGAGGCATAAAGAGGGAGGCTTGCGCTACCAGTGCTGGCACATGTGCAGATCAAATACATCATTGGAATGCTGTTGTAAGCTGTTTACATGTCCTAATAATTCAAAAAATGTATCAGAAAAACAGGTGTTTTAATTGGCGTATGCTTACTTCGATTTTGACCTTTTGACCAATTTTGAGTGAAGTGGTTACATGACTATTGCCATACTCGGCCTAGTGCCATAATCAGTTTAATATCGAATTAATCAGTGTGCATGTAAACGAACTCAATGTTTTCAAGGAGGCCTATTCTTACATGTACTACTAAAGTTAAAATAATATAATAATATGCCATTTAGCAGACGCTTTTATCCAAAGCAACTTACAGTCATGTGTGCATACATTTTTACGTATGGGTGGTCCCGGGGACCACCAAAGCATTGGATTGGTGTAAACATTGGCGAAAGTTTATTTCCATCATATTTTTTGGCGCCAGGATCGGCGCTATTCCTTTTAAATCTAAGTCGCATTGAGATTGACGTTATAATTCTAACTAAACCTATGACCTGACCCATCACCTAAGGTAGCCTATTACTTCCCCCGAGTGGCAAGAAGTGACATCACAAATACACTAAAAACACTAAAAACTAAGCTCCTAGCCCCCCCACACATGCTTTCTGTCCCCAACACTAAAACTGAAACTACGTCTACATAATATAAAAACAAAATAACAAATATTTTTAAACAACTAAAACTAAATTAAAAACTAGCAAATCAGGTCTGAAAACTGAAACTAAACTTCAAATATAAAAACACAGAGCTATAACAACCTTGAGTAGAAGAGACTAAAGGGATAGGGGAGGAATGTCGAGTACTGGGGAAGCCTGGAAGGTGGCCCCTCCCTGAGTCTATAGTACTACACACACACAGGGGGTGGATGGGCTGAGCTGAGCTCACAGACACCCGCTACGGGCCATGCTCCGCTCCGTAGGAACAAAGAGGCCTTTGGCGCTGCGTCGCTCCCTTTTGGGCCACAGCTGCACACCTGCGGCAGTCTGCTGCTCACCCACATACACAAGCATGTGCGCGCGCACACAAGCACACACACAATTCACAAGTAGGACTACTAATGCAAACAAACTTACTTAGTCTGCAAAGTGCAGAGGAAGTCAAACTTGACACTGTTTTGTACTATGGCTTCTTATAAGTACGCTAAACAAATAAAGGTATGGAGATCTGAGGTTGACACACCAATCCCAACCATCCGACAGGTCCAGAGGAGATTCCTCACCTATAGCAGGAGCAGGACCTAATACCCTGTCCCCCGGCAAAGGCCAGAGGCCACCACAACAGACCAGGGAGGGGCTGCTCCTCTCCTCTCCTGGCTCAGAGACATGTGCATGTGGGGATGGAAATGAGAGTCCCGAGACTTAAGCATCTTCCCTGCGAACACACACACACAGAGTATGGCTTGTTGGCATCCATATTCAGCCCAGGCCAACAGACACAGGGCCACTTTGTTTCACTTGCACAGTCTGAAATTCCTCTAAGGTCAATCCCTTTCCTTATGAGTGATTTGGCACCCAACAGGGCACTGAACACAATGAGGGGAGAGAGGAAGAGTACACTTCCCTTGTCGACGTAACGGCAGAAGATACACAAACGTGGTTTAAGAAATATTTTCTGAGTGCTGCCAACATAGAAACACTATTTAGGCGAGCACAGAAACACCATTAAGAGGTTGGGATTGTTGTGAATCATGGAGATATTTATGAGCTTTCATCCAAGATACCATCTAAAAAAGCCATGGCTCTTCTTCACTTGGCTGAGCTTCTCTTTCCAGGCCAGGGCTTGTAAGTAGCATCAGAGATCAACATCACATTTTCAATGAAAAGGTCAGAAAGATTTCATCCGCTTTCCTTAGGAGCTTTGGTGTTACAAGCTCAAGCACAACACATGCAAGCACTAGTATAAGACAGTATTATTAGATAATAATAAATTATAGGGCCTAATGTTGGAGCTAGGAACACAAGCATTTCGCTACACCTGCAATAACTTCTGCTAAATATGTGTCTGCGACCAATAACATTTGATATATTTTTTCTGTTGTTTACACAATAGGGGAAAACAATCTGCTTTGACTGGAAACCCCTTCACACCTTTACACACTACATTATCATTGAATTTCGCACGAGGAAAGTAGCCTACCTATCATTGGATTTAGAAAAGTGAGGGTTGGATTATTTATACGGTAATAATACCCAATAGTCTGCTCTGGCCTCGATGGGTCAAGCTCAGGTAATATCGCCTAACCTATAATGTCACAGTTGAGGGTTGAGCTGCTACTCTCAAAGCTGATTCTGACAGAAAGCAGTCTCAATCCCACCATAAGCCAACATACAAAATCCTCTTTAATGATTACAAAGCGCTATCAATAGGCTTAACAGCAAATTAGGCCTAATCTCCATTAAACCTTCATCAAAGTGCAATGAGCCACACCCAGCCACTTGGCCTTCCAAGCCAGAACAGTGAGCTAATGGATATCTGCTACAAGAGACAGGTAGGCCTATCGGCTTGATCTTAGGTGGAATAGTCCTCGGACTCTCCCAACCCTGGAAGATGGAGATTACTGGGGACATTAGACTAGTTAGGACTATGCTACCACAGACACTGTCAAAACTATGAATAGCGGATCTCAGAAACTAAGTGTTGTGATAATGTCTCAATAACCTAGACATCCGGCCTGTTGCATACTGTCTATCCTCCTCATGTCATGCACTGTATGAATATGTCATTGATGTGTTTACCAATAGCTTAGATAGAACTGATAAGATGAACCATACATCCGATTAGCCTGCCCTGCATGGAGGTTTGAAGTAACCACATCCCCAAAACAAACCAACTTGGACACAGTAGCCTAAACAGCCACAATTACTAATCTCTCTCATATCCACTGAGCTTTTATACTAAATAGATAGTTGATAGTAATTGAATGTGTAAACAAATTAGAAGTGTGTGCCAATATGCCCACACAAGTCACTTTCCTCTTGCAACAATGAACAGGAACAAAAACGAATGCTCCCAGGGCTGAGATTTCCGGTTCACTAATTTGTCATTTGATAAGATTCATTAGCCTATATTTATTTTTACATATGAAATATATGGAATTTCCCATTCCATAGGTTCATCATGTAGGCATAACATATATACACTGAGTGTACAAAACTTTAGGAACACTTTCCTAAAGTTGCATCCCTTTTTGCCCTCAGAACAGCCTCAATTCATAGGGGCATGGACTCTACAAGGTGTCAAAAGCGTTCCACAGGGATGCTGGCGGGAAACAATTGAGCTTGAAAAACCAAGCAGCATTGCAGTTCTTGTCACACTCAAACCGGTGCGCCTGGCAACTACTACCATACCGTTCAAAGGCACTTAAACATTTTGTCTTGCCCATTCACCCTCTGAATAGCACACATACTCAATCCATGTCTCAATTGTCTCAAGGCATAAAAATCCTTATTTAACCTGTCTCCTCCCCTTAATTTACACTGATTGAAGTAGATTTAACAAGTGACATCAATAAGGGATCATAGCTTTCACCTGGATTCACCTGGTCAGTCTATGTAATGGCAAGAGAAGGTGTTCCTAAACGTCACTGATCATAATTACATAGACATACTAGGCCTATACATTAGAAATGTAAATGTCAACATGTAAAAGCAACACTGCTTTGCATACAAGCTTAGTACTGTACAACCATAGCCCATATTGATACTGCATCATGTAGGCTAGCTATGATGTACAACAAGGAGAATGAAGATATTTGTGAGATTTTGTTTGTCAATGACATCAGTGAAGGGAGCAAAGTAGATCATTCATTCAGAAACAAGATTCGATACCCATGTTTCCCAATGCAATGGATGAGACCTGACTGTCAGTCTGCATTGAAAAGTCCACACACACATTGTAGGCTAAACAGACTGGACTCAGCTAAAATAACACAGGATGACTAGTTAACAGCTACTGTAATAGCTAACTGGCTATAAACAAACAATTTGTAGTATAGACAAACAATTTGATTTGTAGTCCAAGGTGAGTTACTAGGTAGGTAATGGAAATTGCATTTACAAATTAATTACTGGACACTAGTTTCAGGTGGACTAGCAACAAAGCTCGCAGTGGCTAGCTAGCTAACTATAGTTAGCACAGTGCTACTGGCAGAAGC